GTCGACCAGCTTCTGCATTCCCACTTCGTATTTGTGTGGGTGCTTGATGTGATCATTTCTAATTACACCGCACAATTAACATCGACCGCTTTACATGACACATTTTACATCACATCGCACCACCTTATATCGCACACTTTACATAACACTTTACATCGCATATTTTACACGTGGCAAACTTCACATCCTTCTCAATACATCATATATACATATGACACTTTACATCACAAACTTTAGGCTAATATCGCATACTGTACATCATCAACTTTTCATCGCACACTTTAATCGCACACTTTAATCGCACTTTTTACATTACACACTTTAGATCGCACATTTTAGATCGAACACTTTACATCACACACATTTCAAAATAAGAGAATGGATAATTTAAAAAGGCGATAAGAACAAGATATGAGCTTCGAGCACAACCCATGTTTTTAATTTTCTGGTGCCGTTCTTAAAGGCCAAATCCAACGATAAAATTGTTAATATGAGAGCAAGTCCAACGTAGATACGTATATGCTCACAACATTTCCTCAGCAGTTTAATCTTTAGACTCGATATCATGTAGTCAATAATTCATCACTTTTATGTTAAAATTGTTGTTGTAAACTGCATTTTAAATGAGTACCTTGATATTTGGGATTTGTAAGTTTATAATATTTATTTCATTTTATTTCTGCATTTTTCCAAATATAATATCTGAATAACAAAGAAAATAAAAACGTAAGGTATAATACGAAATATACAAACAATAGTAACTTCATGTCAAAATTTTATTTACATATATACATATAATAACGAAACATAACATAACATAACATATGATTATAAATTTACAGTATTATCCGAATGAGGCTATCTGTGGAAAAAATGCAGGAGACCGCAATCATAAGCGATTCTCGACTAGGATGGCCGCCTCAAAAGAAAAATGTTAAGGTTAAATTTAAAATGAAAATGTGCTTAAACGGTATTTGTGTATGAGTGTGGTGTGTGAGTGTATTGGGTATGTGCGTGTGTGTGTATTCATTTACATCACCCTGCACTAATGCAATAATTTATACAGTCTTTAGTGTGGTAAATAAACAAATCATTTGTGACAACAAATAAATAAAGTAGTGTAACATTGTGAATTAATGAGGATCAGAACGGAGAGAATGTACCCAATAAATAGTATGCATACTTCGATATACTGTGCATGCCAAAAACAGAGAAGCAATGAGTTTAAATACAGCAGGCCAAGATATTCAACAACCGGATGATATATTTATATAAATATATTCACTGTTGGTCATAAAGGTGGAATAATTTTTTTACCCCAGTTTATGGAATGATTTCGACAATGATTTATTCCTGATAGATATAGATAAAAATATACATTCTCAGATTTTATTAAATAATACTTTGCGAGTGTTTGTTTTACGTGATTGCTAAAGCATGTGTGTGCTACTATGCTTATCAACTGGTTGACCTACGGCCTTAAGTCATATCTGACATTAATGACGATTAAAGCTTCACACAAGGGCACTTATATAGCACATCGACACGGTTTTGATCCTGGGGCCTCTCGGGCCATTGCTTTGCCACTGAATCATGACTGTACGCATCGGGGGCTAGCGTAGGGGGCAGCCCCAACAAATAAAAAAGAAAAAGAAAAGAAAATGCAATATATTATTAATAATGCATTGGATTTCCCTCCGGTCCCCAACATAAAATTTCCTCTGTACGGCCATGCATTATGGTTCAAAGCATGGCCATACAATAGTATTTTGTATGTTGTTTAGTTTTATAGTGAATAAACTTAAAAGAAATAGAAGGGAGATAATATAGAAAACACGATCGATCGATCGATCGATCGAGAGAGAGAGAGAGAGAGAGAGAGAGAGAAAGAGAGATTGGGGGTATAATGTTTAATTTGGATCTCAATTTAATTTTTGTTATTTCAATTGAAGGTACATCAATAAGGCTACCAAAATACGACTCTTATGATGTAAAGGATAGACATTCTTTTCTGGAAATATAAACTATATAAAACTTTGTACGTAGGCCTACACTCAAGAAAATAATGTGAGAATCGATTCGATATGCATAGTATGTTTAGACATTCATATATATATATATATATAAATATATACCTTGTCTGAAACCCAAGAGTATCGGTGAGGCTCCACTTGTCTTGTCAGCCCACAGTACTCGACTTTCCATGTTTTCATACAGAGATCTGAGGAGGGCTGTGTATGCAGGGTCAATGTTGGTTTGGTCCACTTTGAAGAACAGGCCATCATGTCAGAATTTGTCAAATGCCTTCTCTGCATCAAGGAGAGCAATATAAGTAGGCCGCTTCTGTGTGCCCATGCCTTAAGCCGTCGCACAGTGGGCCAGGGAGGAACCAAAGTGCGCCAAAACTAAGTTTGGGTGATTTTTTTTTTCAATTTTTTTCTTGCCCAGTTGAAAGGTAATACATAGAGGAATACCTCAGTGAAATATTTAATTCCGTTATGCACAATAAGGGTATAAATTTACTACTTCAAACAGCAAAATCCTACATATTCACAGTTTTAGTGCAAAAGTGACTTATTTTATAAATCTTTCAATTCAACATGAAGTTTTTAAGTTATTGATATGAAATTGCTCTCACATATTCCTGATAGTTCATTTCGTTGAATGAATGGGTTAAAATTAATAGAAACACAATCTTCATGATATATTATAGGGTAATTCACTGAAAAATGGACTAATTATCCATGTTTTTTATAAATCCAGAAGAAATGTTTAGATCTCCGCAGTGTACCGCTTAAATTTTAATACCACCATTTCCTCTGATGTCTAAGCTTTAAGTTGATACCAAATTTGGCTGCCCGATCTTGCCCGTTGTTATGTTAGAGCCGATTTCCCTTGCCACATTGCCCCGAAAAATGTGGGTTTTGGGGGTCCGCGGCTGAATCTTGAAGGATTCGTGGTCATAAATCACGGCGCGAGGGGGCGCGTGACACTTATTCTGACACCGCGGACCGAAATAAACACATTTTCGGGGCAATGTTGCAAGGAAAACGGCTCTAACATAATAACGGGCAGAATCGGGCAGCCAAATCTGGTATCAACTTAAAGCTTAGACATCAGAGAAAATGTTGGTAATAAAATTTTAGCGCAAATCCCTGGAAATCCAAACATTTCCTCTGGATTTATAAAAAATAAATCCCCAAACATGAGTTTTGGCGCACTTTGGTTCCTCCCTGGCCCACTGTGCGTCGTCAAGAGGATTTTTTTATGTTGGGGACCGGGATAAAATGCAATAAATTATTGAAAATTTACTGCATTTTCTGTTTTTTTAAATAATTTATGGAAACTGCCCCCTACCCTAGCCCCCGCTGCGTACAGTCATGGTTCAGTGACAAAGCAATGGCCTCGTAACTGTGAGACCCCAAGATCAAAACCGTGTCGATGTGCTATATTAGTGCCCTTTTGTGGGGCATTAATCCTCTTACTGTCATTTATGACTTGAGGGCGTAGGTCCCCTAGTTGATAAGCATATAGTAGCATACACATGCTTTAGCAGTCCCGCAAAACACACATTGGCAAATTATTATTCAATAAAATCTGAGATTGTATACTATTATCTAGATCTATTTTTTTAAAATTATTTTTAAAACAATTCCATAAATTGGGGTAAAAAGAAAATATTCCAACTTTATGAGCGACAGTGTATATCACACAACGGTACAGCGAATCGTCTTCTTTCTCTAATAATTTCATGAAACGTCAAAGCTTCCCCGCTTCGCGCGGGAGGGGGAGGGGGAGGGGGAGGGGGAGGGGGAGCAACCCTTGGGTTTACAATGTATAGGGGAGGGGGCTTGGGTTTGCAATGTATAGGGGAGGGGGAGGGGAGGGGGAGGGGGAGCAACCCTTGGGTTTACAATGTATAGGGGAGGGGGCTTGGGTTTACAATGTATGGGGGAGGGGGAGGGGGAGCAACCCTTGGGTTTACAATGTATAGGGGAGGGGGAGGGGGAGGGGGAGGGGAGGGGGAGCAACCCTTGGGTTTACAATGTATAGGGGAGGGGCTTGGGTTTACAATGTATAGGGGAGGGGGAGGGGGAGGGGAGGGGGAGGGGACTGAATTTAGACAAGGATTAAGAGTCGAGAATTGTACAACGAATCGTCTTTGTTCTCTAATGATTTAATGAATCGTAAAAGCTTCCGCGTTTCGCGGAGGAGGGAGGGGGAAACTCGCCCCTCCCTGCACCCACCCCAACCCCCGCATTACGTCACTGCTGGTCACCATTACGTACCAATATTTGGCTTGCATAATTTCAAATTTGGCCCCCCCCCTAAGAAATTGTGGATCCGCGCCTGCTAACCCTTAGATTTGTGAAAGTGACATGAGGGGGGGGGGGGGGGGGGGGGGGCTTGGGTTTACAATGTATAGTATTTCATATTCGTGTGTGTGTGTGGGTTGCTCTGATCTACGTATAAACGTACACGAAGGCGGCAAAACATGCGTCTAAAGACGATGAATATCATCGTGTTGAGGGCAATGGTGATAATCATGATGTATGTCATCGTTTTAAGGGTAATGGTGATAATCATGATGTATGTCATCGTTTTAAGGGTAATGGTGATAATCATGATGTATGTCATCGTTTTAAGGGTAATGGTGATAATCATGATGTATGTCATCGTTTTAAGGGTAATGGTGATAATCATGATGTATGTCATCGTTTTAAGGGTAATGGTGATAATCATGATGTATGTCATCGTTTTAAGGGTAATGGTGATAATCATGATGTATGTCATCGTTTTAAGGGTAATGGTGATAATCATGATGTATGTCATCGTTTTAAGAAGGAGACCAGGTTGTGATCATTAAAATAATAATGATGATGACGATGATAATGATAAAAGCATGAATAATGATAATAATAACTAATAAAGTAACTAAATTTTGCCTGACCACTCTAGCTGTGCAGCAGGTGAAAAAATGCAAATAGTACATAATTTTGTTGTCTTGGCAAGGTTGATATTCTTTATTAGATTTCTTTAAATATATACATGTATTTCCACTTCTTGTTAATCAAAAACTACTGAATCTATAAGTCAATTTGTACAAAATATTATTTCTGAATGATAAACTCTCAAAGTGATGTTTTACAACTAGACATATTGTAAAACAATCCAAATTTAAAACATGTTCAATAGATTTCATTACAAGCCCACATCTCAATCACGTAAGTTGCTGATTTGGTTTCTTTGTGACTATTACGGAAGCAAGATGGTTAATATTTAGCCTCAAATAGCTTCTGTCATACAACCTTGTGTTGTGTATATGATAATATAAAGCAACTGCAAATTAAATAAAAGAGAGAAAGACATAAGACTCTTGTTTTGAACAAAATTGAACTGAAATGCTACCCAATAACACCCTAAACTAGTATGAAAACGTTTGCCTCCATAAAAAAATAGAAAAGCGAGTGTCCATGTGAAGTCTTACCTTTCCCACTGTATATCTGTTTCGTTGTAAAATGTTGGTACATAATAGTCATAGATGAGCACACATCTATTCACCTAATATAGTCTTGCTCTACCCTTGATTAATTAGACATTTGGGAATAGAACTATATGATCATGGTTACCAATATAACAATATATATACTGCTATCCTATAGGTTTTCTCTCTCGATCTTATTTGTAACGAATCCATGCAATTTATTTTCAAATTAATTGTAATTTGTTTTATCTACTGGAAGAGCGCTGATAAAGAAAGCTTTAACACTTTGAACTGAATTTACTTTTAGTAACACATGACATGACTCCAGATATGGATTTTCAGTAGCAAAATATTGAGAGTAATAACATAATAATTGATTCTTAGAATTCCTGAAAATATAACAATCCGTAAATAATATCAATTCAGGTTAATAGTCGCAATATTCATCTTGGAAACATACAACGAATTTCCATTTTGTATGGACAATAAATCAATTCAATTCAATTCAAGATGTACACCAATAATTGCAACAGTGTACACGATGTACATGGAGGAACTATTACTTAGACATATCTTTAAAAAATATATAATGTACATAATACATCCGTTGAGAGCCAGAAGGGCAATGACCTGTGCTAAATGAATTGAGTTAACGTCCTTTTAGCTCTAAGTATGTAGGTGTATGCAGCATGGTTTTAAATCCATAAATATATCAAAGAAAAAGGCAGTGTTGGCCCTATATAGATGCAAGGTCTGTCCAACAAAACTTGGTATCCATGAACAAATTACAATTACGATTGATATAAGCTACAAACGTTGCATTTGATTGGCACTGAACAAATCTGTTGAGGAGTAATGGCAGTTATTTCTTGCATGTGTGTTGAATAGGCCCCTGAGACTACTACTTGTCCGGGGCCCTGCAGTGTTCACTCTGTATATACACATGACAATTCAAAGATGGCTAAATAACCCCTAGTATACACCCCATTAAGGTAATGTTGCTTCCCAAGATTTTTCTTGTTGGTAGCACCAGTAGTTTATTGGACATGGTTGTTGCTTTCACAAGGGTACATCCAATTTTACAGGGTTGTGAAATGCAAAATATGCAAAGATAGCTCGGAAAGAGGATTACAGAAATAATGGTCCACCTTCACACCCCAAATCAATTATACCTGAAGGAGAGACCCCGCCCCCCCCCCCCCCCGAGGGTTAACATCATTTAGTTCTCTTTTCGCCTCCCAGGCACAGGTGACGCCAAATACTTAATAATAACAATAATAATAGACATTTTGATGTTGACTGAACAACCAAGGGACATGAAGGGCTACAATTATTCAGGAAAGACTGAACCACATGGGGCCATTAATTCCATTTGGAACAGGTTTCTCTGTTTTTTAAATAATATAAACCTCTATGAACGTTATGGAAGGGATGGTATATAAATACTTTATTTCTTTCCAATGCAGTACCCTGTAAAATCTCCTAAAGAGCAAGATTGGGGAAGACTTGTAAATAATTACTCTTTCTGTGCTTGCATACAACTCTGCTGAACTGTGCAACTAGCATTATGCTTAGATCAATCCCTCCTCACTGGTAAGAGCAATTCATTGTAGATTAGATGTTTTCTCACTTGGTTCTGATATGAATAAATATGAACTAACATAAGAATGAAAATGTATTATAACATTATAATGCAAAATATTTTTGAATGCTCCCAAATCCAATAAATTCACAAATGCTTAAATGAAGAAAAAAAGGGAGAACATAAAATAATCATATACAACCAATATATGTCAGAAATGCATACATCACTGAGTAAATAATGATTGAAATCAATGGAATGTCACCAAAACATGAACAAAAAGCAAATTAAACAATCCTATCCTTTTTTATCAAGGAAAAATGCAAGAACGAATTGATATCTGTACAATGAAAGAAAAATAATATAAAAAATAACATATTGCAATCAAACACCTTCCCTTGAAAATGGAATCTATAATGATTTCTAATTGATATCTGCCTCTATATAATATATTTCTGAAACATATTGGCATTGTTATAAGAATTCTATAAGTGAACTTGAATAATCTGTGATGGTTCAATCAGTGCCTTAAAAGTAAATCTAAAATGTATGCTTCCTGTTGCGACTAGATAATATCCTCAACACAAAAAAACATTTTATAAGGGTCCAGCTAGAGAAAATCAATGATCTCCTTTGATTAGATTATGAATGGAACTCCTGAGTCCTGACCTAAAGTAAACACGTTTATAATGCTTGCACATAAATGTTTAGCAGTTCATGCATTACAGAAAGATGACTTAGACTGAAGGAAGAATTGGGGGGGGGGGGGGTGGGGGAGCCCCCAAAACAAAAACAAAACCAAGAACGAAAAACAAAATATGTGTATATTCTTTTCCACATGAGGTTTTTAAATACTACCAGTTATAAGTTTTGTTTTACTCTAACTACTTATGCACAAATAATGGTAAACCTACATATACATTGTTGTCAAGGATGAGAAAGCACTCTTTTTAGGTATATCGTATGCCATTATGTATTTCCCTGTCAGAATATTATATGCAGCAACAGCAGTGATAGCATGAACAATAAGATAAAAAATAGATAAGTAAAGTTTGATAAATTGATAGATACTAAAATAACAAAATTGTTTATCATGATAAATATACAAAAGAACAATCATAATGTGGGTAATAAAAAAGAAAGTAATATGTATGTCTGGTGGATTAATGTAGGAATGCAAAATGAAAATCACAATTATTAAATTTTAAACATACTTTTTGAAACTTATAGCACATCAAAACAGAAAAGTAAATCAACACAGATGATCTGAATAAAAAATCATTGCAATTTGATAATAAACCTACAGACCCAGAGAAATGAATTAGATGGTGAGATAACATATCAGGAAATAACATCATATATCACTTACCACTTTGCAAAAATAAAAATGGCTATATTTCTGTAAAATACAACTGTGTACAAAGAAATAATCAGGAGGAGGGGGGGGGGGGGTACTTTAATCAAGTGAATCATTGCAAGATGCTTAAAATTATCCAAAGGCATTAAAACTCCAAGTTCTGTATTCTACCAGTTCAGTCAAACCCAACCCTGGGGCTAAGGTCATGTTTCACAAAAGGATAACTTACACGTCAGACTAATGTTGTTTGTTAAACCCGACCTTAAACAAATGCCTAAACCTAGTGCAAGGTTTAAATTTTAGTAGAATATAGGCCCATATGTCTGTGAGAGCTGCAAGAGTCCATTGCTATTCTGTTATCATTGTAGATATAAAGATTATATCAGTCAATATTCCCCACATTCTTATCAATTGCTGAATGACTACAACAGTAATGTGAACAAGTTACTGAGCTGAAATAATGTCTGACATTGTAGCATTGGTTTTAACAAATACGTCTGATTGGACAACAGACTATCTTTATGAGGATCATACAAGCTCACGTACTAAGTTGTAAGGATTTTATTTACATTGAAGAAGTTAACAACTTTTTCATTCTGTGCAAAAATACACGAATCTAAATTCTGAAAGACATAAAAGCAAGACCTCACTTTTTCAAAAGCACTCTATAGCAAGGTGACTATGGTTCAAGGTCACCAATTCATCGGTTTCGTTTAGTATCTTAGTTTCATTGTTGGAAAATAATTTAACTAGACAGTGAAATAGGGAACAACTGATGCAGAGTACAAGCATACCCTTGCTTGCACAATCTATCGAAGGGGGAAGAAGATGCCGATTTGTGCAACGAAATAAGCGATACTGTGCAGAGTGGTGCATATTTCATGATAATCACAATATTTTGAATGGTAATCCAATCTTTTTACTCAGTACATTTGCATGAAATAAGAAAAATAAGAGAAACAGAATGGTGAAAGTTTAAAAAATGAAATGGTTAAGGACATTGCACCACACCACACTGTCCTTGTAGCGCACTCCCTTCATGAGTTGTCTGGTAGCTCGGTATGGACTAACTTCTCAACTTGGATACATCTTAATATCTGCATTCAACTCCAGTTCCCGATGGGTAGACAAACGACGTTTGAAGAAGCCGTCTGTGTTTGTTCCTAAGCAATCTTTTGCTGTTATTTCAAAGCTGCCACCCTAGGTGAATGTGGGTACTTTAAGTAGAAAAAACTTACTATATCCGACCTGTTGGCAGGAGCACAGTCGACTTCAGTTTGTTAATTATGTGTAATCAAGATCACCAAAGAAGTCAGGTCCAGAAGGAGTCCTCAAACGATCTAATTACCCAACAAGGTGACCCAAAGACTGCAGGGAATGCTGGACATTCACAAGGTGGGCAAACCTAGTCTATATGCCAATGTGCACCGTCATTAAGCTTATCTTTAACATATCTTGCTTGACTCTTTGCTGCCTCCTATGAAAGAACATGATAAACATAGTCGATTTGGACAGGTTTATCTTAAAGACAGAATTCACTACCACCCAGCTCTCAGTTCCTTACATATTATCCACCGGTATCTAAGGATAAGACTCTGGGGCTTTATTTTTTGAGCTCCACATAGCAAGCATCACAAACTCTGACTGGTTTCTTGGCCGATGCAATCATGGTGTTCTTACTGGAACATTCTTGACAGAAGATGTCGCCACAGTTCCTGCAGTGATGCTGGAAAAAAAAGACGAAAGAAAGTACCTTCATTTAGTAACTGAACGTGGGAATACTTAGGATGAAGCACAAATGAATACTAAATGGAAATGAGATCCTCTTTTATTTATATTCTATCCTAAACCTTCTTTTGTGTTGGCTTTTATCACTTGGACTAACATAATTCTACATTATAAAACAAGTTCTACAAAATAAAAAGAGCTTGTTTAACTCGTAAAAACTATGTTTTTGTGCAAAATACATTCTGATTACAAGTAAAAAATAAAATACTTAAATGAAGTTACTCTCCATAAATTTAGAAAGTCAGAAAACTGTTAGTGAAAGTATGTTAATTGCCATAACAAGTTGAAATCAAAACAAGTCATTGATTAATATCTGTACAGAGCTGGCCGCATAGACGTAAAGGTAAAAGGAGACTCAGCATGATCACCATGGGCGTGTATCTATTCCATGCAAATTTAAAATTGTTATGACAACATAATTTTCATTAAGTTTACAGAATACATTTCCATTGATGATAATAATAATATGCCGTTCTTATATAACGCATATCACATTATAAATAAAACGACTCTATGCACTTCCAAAGGACTTTGGATATGATTACCACGGCATTATCTCCAGCATCCGTAGCACTCGTCGATTTCAAGGAATAAATCCTACCAGATACCCACTTACTTCACCTGGGTCTAGTGTTGCAAATGTAGTTTATTGTCTTGCCAAAGGACATTAGTGCCACGTCGGGATTGTGGTTCAGGCACAAGAGACTTATCCACTAGACCACAACACCTCTACAACACCTCTACAACACCTTGATACAACACCTCTACAACACCTTGATACAACACCTCTACAACACCTTGATACAACACCTCTACAACACCTCTACAACACCTCTACAACACCTTGATACAACACCTCTACAACACCTCTACAACACCTTGATACAACACCTCTACAACACCTTGATACAACACCTTGATACAACACCTCTACAACACCTTGATACAACACCTCTACAACACCTCTACAACACCTTGATACAACACCTCTACAACACCTCTACAACACCTTGATACAACACCTCTACAACACCTCTACAACACCTTGATACAACACCTCTACAACACCTCTACAACACCTTGATACAACACCTCTACAACACCTCTACAACACCTTGATACAACACCTCTACAACACCTCTACAACACCTTGATACAACACCTCTACAACACCTCTACAACACTTTGATACAACACCTCTACAACACCTTGATACAACACCTCTACAACACCTCTACAACACCTTGATACAACACCTCTACAACACCTCTACAACACCTTGATACAACACCTGTAACACCTTGATAACTGCGATTAAATGTCAAAGGTTATCAAGAAACGTACCTTCCTAACAGCAAGTGAGAAAGCTTTGCTACAGGACATGCAGTCCAGCACCTCCTTGTCATCGGTCCACTTCCTACCCATTGCCTTGGTCTGGGTGATTTGAAGGGCTTGGTTCTCACGACCAAGCTCGTGCATGGCCGCCTGCGCATCGTCCAGCTTCCGTCGCAGCTCAGCGGTCTTTGCCTGCAGCTTCTCCACATCCTTCTCATTGCTCAAGCACCTAGGGAGAGGGCGGATTGCACATCAGATTTTTATGGATCGAACAAGATATTCTAAGGCTTTATGCTCCTAAAGTAACACACTGAGCATTCCTTTAATTCCTTCTTGCCATATTCATTGTATTTTGCCATATGGCCCAAATTAAAAAAGGAGGTTTAAATTTAACCCATGGTTTAAACCCTCATTTACATAAACCATGGTTTAAAATTAGCGCAAATTAAGCGTACCTTGCCTTGCGCGTGTCTTATCTTGGAACTCTGACTGTGTCGCGCTTGATCTTGCGCTAATTTTAGACCATGGGTTATGTAAATGAGGGTTTAAACCATGGGTTAAATTCAAACCTCTAATACCTTAAACCAAGACAGTATTTTGATCTTTCTACATTCAGCTTCAGCTCCATCGTTCTTTTCAAATACTCACTTTCATGACTAATGATTTACTTCAACAACTCTATTCTCATTTTCTGTTCACTTCGTCTTCCTCAATTTACAAAATCTCTCTCTCTCTCTCTTTCTCTCTCTCTGACACACACACTGTCTCTCTCCTTCTCTCTCTCTCTCTCTGTCTTTTCCTCCCTCCTTCCTCTCTCCCCTCACTCCCTCCCTCCCTCCCTCTCTCTCTGCACTCATCCATTTTAGTTCTATGCACAGAAGAATCACTTACCTTTCCAGCAGGGCCCTCCTCTCATCTTGACTGTTCTGAATGGTCGCCTCCATGACTAAAAGAGAAGAAGGAAACTGAATAGTTTGAAAACCAGCACTTTCTCTTGGTGTCTGTAATATGATAGTATAACTCAAGCTGGTCCAGCATGTTCTGACATTACTTTCTTTTCATAGCACTAATCATTTTCACTTTTAGTCCATTTATCAGCCATTAAAGCCCCACTGCACTACATATAGCTACCTGCGCCCCCTATACAGCCAACAATGCCTAAGCGGTACCCGTTGATCCCCCATGATGCTCTTTGTCTTATGTTCATTGAGAGCTGATCTGATGAGATAACCACCTGCCAGTGACCTCACAGGGAGGTCTAATCCCTCTATGTCAAACTAGTGCAGAGGGGCTTTAAGAATTTTTTAATGGCACATTTCCTATTGAGTTTCAGGGACAATGCCTAAGTCAATCATTTGTAATACCATTTTTCAAAGAAGGAAGCAAGTCTTTGTTTTACCCGTAATTAATTTTTCTTTTCAAACTTGAATGGTTTACCGGTAACCAATATTTGCAACATTAATGTCAAAGGTCGGTAATATTATCTAATTTCCATGTTTACCATGTTTTTCTCCTTGAAAGTCTTCTACGGTCTTCTCCAGTTCCCTGGAGCGTGTATCAGCCTGCATCATGTCACTGCGTAGGGTGCCCAGGTTCTCGTTGAGGGCGCTAAGCTGCATGTTGTAGCGTTGCTCCTGACGCTCTCGCTCCTCTTCTGCTTCCACCTTAGCTTGTGTCTCACTTGCCTGAACAAGACAACAACGAAGAGCAAAAGAGCAAATCAAAATCAGTTTCAACTGTTGATTCTGAGCGAACTGCTAAAATTCATCATAGATCAGATTTATCACTGGGAATCTCTACATACTAGATCTCTTTTTTGTGGGTTAATGGTAGATTTGCATAGAGTATTTGCTAAATTTTTAGGAAAATGACAAACAAAATGAATACAAATTAAAGATAAAGTTGAGTTCTGGTCATGCGATTGCATTGTGAAAGAAAAGGTGTGGAATGGATCAGAAAAAGGTTGATCATGTAGTATGAAAGTATTGGTGTGTACTGCAAGGTTCTGGAGTCATCAAAATGATAAGAAATTTGGCCCAGGCTTGGTAAAGTAACAAGCAATGTACACAGAATGATGTAACTGGGACTACACAAATGGTGTTGGGGCTACCTACCTTGATTTCCTTATCTTTCTATGCTCATCACTCAAGCAAGTATACATTTTCTACCAAAATTGTTTGGCAAGTGACATTCATTTATAATCTTGCACATTCAGCGGAAGTTTTTTTTTATTCTGTGAGAATTCATTTTTTTTTTACCAGAACAAAAGTTTATCTTTAATTTCATTTAATTAGCAAGGATGGAGGGATAAGGTTTGTAAGAGTGTAGGCAGAAAGTTCACTTCATATACATATAATCTAACTTGTTTGCAAGTATTTCAATCAGTATTTTCAGGCTATGTACAAACCATCCAAGGCTAGTTTGATTAACATTCTTTGAATGTGAAACATTCAACTTTTACAAGGTAGCATTTACTAATTCAGATGTATCAATTAAATAAAGCCAACGCATGTCCAGAGAAGTCTAGCAATGCACTCTCTTTACCAGTTTGCTTTGTAATGCAGCACTCTCCTCCCGCAGCATATTCTGAACCTTCTTGGACACTTCCTTGGTCTCTTCATGGTCGGCGAGGGCAGCAGACAGTCCGTTGTCCTTCTCCGTCAGCTGAGACTGTAGTTCTAGCTTCTGGGTGATCAGTAGCTGTCTGGCGTCCTGCAGGGAGCTTACCTCCTACAATATGAAAGGAATCATTCAAGTTTGACATCGGTAGACTGACGTGAACAACTAGAGAGCCTAAATGTTGATCAAAATTACGCATTTGGCTTTTGGGGACACATGACAAGTTATTTACTGAATTTGATTTACTGTTGCTAATTATAATTATTGATATAAAACTTATATCATTATTTCTATTAGTACTGTTTATTTTTTAATCACTAATTTTTACATTTATGCATAGCATAACTATATGTATGCACCTACTACTATTATTAATAACATTCGGTACCCACTATCAATTCTACTTTTACAACCATTTCTTCTCGTGCATACAATATTCTAATTGTTAACACGTGGATGTTATAATGCTTGTAAAAATGATGTCAAATCTCCCATATATATTTATCAATTATATTACAAAGAAAATGGCATGTTGACCCTGGTTGTAATCATTCGACGTAGTGGAGTCTTGATTAAACAATTCATTCATCTGCTCAACTGTTGAACAGACAATCTTAAATTTCAGGTATCCACATACATTGTTTATGATAGAGGTTTCCAGACAAGAAATGTCAATAGCCTTAGTTTACAGGAAGTTCCTCAATAAGCCTGCCTTCATCAGCTCAAGTTTGCCAAATAACCCGCTATTTTCAGACTCAGGATATTATCCTGAAGCTTGAAATTGCGTCCTCACCAGACCGATATGCTCATCACAAACTAGCTAGGACGGGTGCAAATTAGCCCACTATTTCCCAAATAGCTGGATATTTTAGGAAAAAAGACCAAGATTTCTCTTGATATTTTCTCGACCAAATATCCCGCTAATTGTAACTGTGGGCTGATAAAGACGCAAAATAGCTGGATAATTTGCGATTGGGATTGTTACATTAGCGGGTTATTTGGCAAACTTGAGCTGATGGAAACAGGCCTAATGTGACTCAGATAAAATATAGCCTTGAACAACTGTTTCAAGCTCATGCTACTACGATCACAGACATCACTCAGGTCCCTACCTTTGCTCGTTCTGTTTTTTCTGTCTGTAGTAAGCCTTTCGTTTGTTCTAGTTCTGACTGGAATCCATCTCTGCTCTCTCTCAACTCACTCGCCGTGGTTCTCTCTTGCTCAATACAGGATGTCAATGTAGCCTGCAATGGAAAAAAATAAGTCATTTATATCTCATTTTAAAGCTTGTTCTTATCTCAATGTTGAGCTTGGGTTGAATAGCATCACATTCGCACAAACATCTATTGGTGTTTTTTCCCTCTTGATTATAATTACATTGTATGTTAACTCTGAGCTTGGCAATAAAGGAGAAAACAACAACAAAAATTGGACAAAACACTCCCCCAAAATACCTAACATTTTCTGGTAATGTCTCACTTGAAAGTTGTTACTAATGACCAAAATACGAACAAACATACAAATTGAAAAAGGCAAAATTTCCTGGAAAAGAGGAATACTCAGAAAATTTGTCAAGAATTCTATCAGTAAAGCTAAATGAGAAATAGAAGGTTTTCATTTGTAATTTATGAAATATGGGGCAGACATCTGCAACAAAGTAATTTAAAAAGAAAATCTGTTTCAAGTATTATATCTTTTTTTCCACTACAACAAAAATAAATCTTACCTTTTCTTCATTGAATGATCTCTCTTTATCTTGTAGAGACCGTTCTAGTGTAGACATCTTTCCTTCTAAGCTGGAATTAATCTGGAAAGAAAGAAATTAATGAAAATCCCATAGAGCCTTGATTCGTTTTTAGCTCTGTATTAGTTCTGTATGCTACACTTTTTTTACTCTTTTCATAATCATTCTACACAACTATTAAAAGTACTGATAGAAAGAAACTGACTGTAATGGTACATGTATATCTTAATGGCACGTATCGAAGTTTGCTACGAGTTGGAAAAATAAATTGATAATCTAACCATGATTACTTTGTCAAAACGAATAAGGGGTAAAACTAGAATCTAAGAATTCTGTAATACCTCTTGCAAGCCTTTAATGCTGCACATAAGAGATGCCTCACTGCCTCTGACTACCTCCTTTTGTTATGCTTTCAAGTGTTGTTTTTTCTTCTTCCAGGTTTATCAACTTAAATACAATCTGTATATCTAATTCAGTAATACCTCTTGCAAGCCTTTAACGCTGCACATAAGAGATGCCTCACTGCCTCTGACTACCTCTAGATCTTCTTCCGTCTTTGTGAGTGATGCATGGAGACTCTCAACCTCTGTCTTGAGAGCCGATGACTTGTCACCAAGCTCCTACACACGCAACAGACATTACAAGAAACAACAGAAAACAATCATGATGCTATGCTTAAACTCCTACATAATAGTACCATCACCAGACCTGCCAACCTCTGGAGTTCAAAAATTGTATTCTTTAATCCCAAAAGTTGCATTTTACTGACAAAAATTGTATTTAAAAAAAACATGGATCAATGCCTCTTTACAGTACCTACATACAAGAAGAATTTATTTTATATGGATCATTGGTTGAATGTGCATAATTTCGCCATGACTGGTGTGTTTGATAAACCAATCAACATCCCCAAATTGCTGATGTGAGATGCTTGTAGGATACTTAACAGGACAGAATGGGAATTTTGCCATTGAAAATGGCACACACACACACAAAATACTAAAAAATACAACAAAAAAAGAGGAAAATCATACTGTCGCATTAACTTCTAAAAATTGTATGAAATACGATTAAATCGTACTGGTTGGCAGCTCTGCATTACTGTAAGTTTAAAGAACTAAAATGCTTTTGGTATGCTTCAAAGTGTTTCTTTTTTTCTTCCAGGTCTATCAACATAAATACAATCTGTATATCACAATCGCAGAAGTACTTCTATTAATAAGAATTTTGTTATTGAGAAAACCAGCCCTAAAACAAGATATTCATCATACCAACTGATAAATTAAAAAATATCAACTAAATCAATGTCGACTTCTAATTCCAAGCATCTATGATTTTGAAAGCATCTAGGATATTTATTTATTTTCTTATTTATTAATTTTTTTTTTTTTTTTTGGGGGGGGGGGGAGGGTAGAAGGCATACCTTGATTTTAGATTCCAGTTTGACCACTTGAACTTCATAGTTCTTACACAGTTGACATTCCTTAGCCAAGTCCTTCTCTAATACCTGCAGAAATAGGAAACAGATGGAGAGAGAGAGAGAGAGAGAGAAACAGAGAGGAAGGGGAGAAAAAAGGGGTCAGGCGTTAAATACAGAAACAGTGAAATACCCTTTGTTAGCACACATGAATATCTCTCTACAAATTGTCTGAAATCGAATCAGATCCAAACACAGTGATTGATAATTGTAAGTCATGACAGTGATCGATGATTGTTTAACTGCTAAGAAAGCATGTGTATAAGTAAACAACCAGGTGACCGATGGCTTTTAGTCCTCTTTGAGGGACTTGGTAATGAGGATTAATGACTTACCAAAGGACACAAGCGCATTGACTTGGTTTCGAAGCTGGGACTTCCCGGTTACGAGACCACTGCTTTACCACTGAGCCATCGCACCTCCTCAAGTAAATATGACAGTAAATGTGACCGAGAGAGATGGAAAAATGCTGCTAACTATCACTGACACCTCTACATCACAATGAATAAAGGGGTACCCATATTACTTGAATGTGATAAAACTGAAACTAATGTATTACCTCAATCTTCTGCTGCATATCTCTCTGCACATTGTCCCTGGTGACTATCTGTTGTTCAAGCATCTCACACTTGGAAAACTGAAAATTTGAGAATAAGAAAAGCAAAGATGAGCAATATTTGTTGTCTCTCTGTCTTCCCTTGTACACCTCTGTCTGTCTGTCTGTCTGTCATTGTTTTTCTTTCTTCCACCGTTTCTCTGAGAGAGCAAGTTTAATTTTACCCACACAAGTTTATATTTGTTTAACTTAACTTTATGTTAACAATTTATTTATGATGGATCACTATCGATCTTAAACTTTATTGATTTTTTTTCCACTTATTTATTCATAACTCTAGAATTGGATTTGAGTTTAAGATCAAGAGTTCTCACTATCAATACAGAAGTTTTTTATCATTGAAACAGTGATAACATTCCCCAACCTAGTTAGACCACCTGTACCTTGAGGAACATCACTATATCCTTTCACGTATATTCTCTGATAGGCCTTCAGGTGATATTTTTGATGATAGTTTACCAATATTCATATGCTCTCTGTGTATTCCATGTAAAACAAGGCGCAACCAAATGAGCAACCATTATTCAGTCAGTCGGTCAGACCATCATTAAAGCCATTAATTTGCATATACGGACAGTAATTACTACAAATTTCTCTTCAGGTGCTCTAATTGCTTACGCTTTCTGCCAGTGAGCCATCTTGGAGCTCCGTCTGTTTCTTCAAGTGAGCGGTCTCCTGTTGTTCGGCAGTGAGTTCAGCATGCAGAGATATGCGGCTTGCCTCTAGCTCTGACACACGGTCTGTCAGAACCAACTCTGATTGCGTCTTCTCAGCTAATCCAGCCTGTTGGGAAGACAAGACAAGAAAGAAATATGATCTGAGAAAAAAAAATTGAGTTGGGATACTGAATAAAATTCTCTCAGCATTACATTGGCCACAATCACAAAAGACATGTAGTGATCATGGATTGAAAATCAATTTATCTGGTTACGATGCAAAAAAGTTATGGTACAAAATATAAGATGTGTAAGCGAATTTCAAAAGATACTGCACGGAAAGGAGACTGAATTCGAGGACAGCTTGCAGAAACGCCATACAATCAATATATAAACCGAAACCTGTCTTAAGGCTCGTTCAGATATGCAGCAGCAAGACTGTGACGTTTTTTCTCATGATGACGTAAAGTGTAATATGCTTCACACTTCTGAATATTATAACACAGAGCAAAGTGAATACCCGCCAAGTCCTTTGTTGCACACAGTTGCCATTCATTTAACACCTTTAAAACAAAAAGGGCAGCTTTTTTGCAGCGGTTTGCCGCCCCATGTCTGAACAATCCTTAAGGGGGCATCTCTCCGTATGACCACCGTATTATATGGGCCACACTTACCTTAGCTTCAACAAGCTGCATTTGAGTAGTATCAAGAGCATTGGTTAGCTCTGTGACTTTAGCCTGCTCTGAGTTCAGCTTGTTCGTCATCTCCTCTGTAAACTTGGTCTGAAAATGAAAAAGATAGTTGTAGATGTAACGGGAGCTGAATATCATTAACTACAGATACAGTAGTCACAAACAGTCTAAAAAGAACTAAAGAAATTAAGAATCTAAAGAATCTAAAGAATCTGTGACAAAGTATGTGCCAGAAATCTGATGTGTTTGGTTTTGATTCTTTGTGCAGCCCTGTATGTTGTAAAGATTATAATATAGTGGGAGAATAGAAAGGGAGAGAAGGGAGGAGAGATAGAAGGAAGGAGAGAGAGAGAGAGAGAGAGAGAGAGAGAGAGAGAGAGAGAGAAGGGGAAGAAAGGCGGGAAGGAGAAAGAGATGACAGAAGATGGGAGCATTCATACCTTTTCCTGTGCATGTTGTTCTACTTGTTGTTTGACGAGTTGTTCCTTGTCTTGTAGTACAGTGTTACGAGAATCCAAAGACTCTTGTAGATTGTTCACCCGTTCGTTAACTACGGTCATCTGAAACAGAGAACATTACAAATTAAATTTTACGAGTCAAATTTACAGCACACTTTACAGGCACGATATAGCATCTGAAAGACTTTGACTGGAATACGATAAAGGCGGATGAGACAGAAATTAATACTTCAACTCATCAAAAGTGCACCCCAGAGTGGGGAGTAATATAGACAGGTAGCCTTTGACACAAGCTACTGGTGTTCAAACTGTGTTGTACACAATGGGACTGGATGGTGATTGCTCTTGCTATAAATGTTCCTTCCATGATCTGATTCATCGATCAACGTCTTTCATCAATGATTGTGGATCACATTAAAAGCTCAACATATATGGCTGACAGATAAACAAAGAAGAAACTATCAATGATGAATTAATCCCACATCACATCAAAGATACTATCCGTAATGTGCATTATCATTGCCTGAAGGAACACCACTCATCATGGATCTGACTCACCTGATACTGATGCTCTGCATTGGAGGCATTGAGCGTTGATTCTAATTCCTCTCTCTCCTTCTGCAATTTTGAGATAGCGGCCTGGCTTTCCTCGATTGACTGCAATGAGGAAAACAAAAAAATTATTACAATCAGTGACAAGTTACTGAAAATATACCATGAAAAATCAGATGTTGTTCCTGAATAATCATTCAATATTTACATCGATGGCAGTCAAGATTCAAGATTGTTTTTTTCTTCAACAAGTTGATTGGTAAAAGTATGCACACTAGTACTTCACATTACACATACTCAATGATCCCAAACTTTGCAAAGTAGCTAAGATATTTTCAATCAAACAAATTAGTATGTAAAATCATGATTCTTAAACAATTATTGATGTAACACAGATGGGTTATGACAGATGGACCTGTTAATATGGGACCAATGAAAAATTGTGAATACTTCTGATATAAATGATATTTACTATTTGGTTATTATCCTTTCATTTAATATATTCTGTCATCCTCACTGCCTCTTCTTTACTATGGATGTTTCACTCTTACCTTTTCACTATTTGATCTGAGGTCTGTCAGCTCCCTAGACTTTGACTCCAGACTATCTTTGGTAGACTGCATTTCTTCTTCCATTTTAGCTAAAGTACTGGCAGTGGAGGCTAGTTGATCCTGAGTACTTTGAAGAGAAGCTTCTGTCTGGCCCAGCTTGGATTCACACGATGTCAGATCTTTAGATGTCTATTGGCATCAAAAGCAAAGAAATAAAAAGAAGTACAGGTAAAACAATGATATCACAAGTTGTCTTCAGTATGTCATAGATAATGAAACAGTACATATTTTACCAAATTTGTGAACATTGTATAAGGGTGACACATATTCCTGATTGGGTTTCCAAGTAGCCATATGACTATCAAAAGGAATACCGATATGGATACAATCAAGCACAATGGTCTATAATTTAAACGAGATAAAACTTAACTGTTGTGTGACCAGTTTGAATGTTAACATACATATAGAAACTTTGTCACTGTCATCTTTCAGTACAAACCTCAACTGCCCCATTTTTAAACAGAAAATGTCATTTGATTACAGAGTGTGTGACAGGCTTTAATAGCACTTTGTACACTGAACTAACCGTTTGGAATTGTTCTGTGATAAGATCTAAAGCTTTCTGTCTCTCTGTCACCACTGCTTGTATGTTAGTAGTCTTCTCCTCCAGCTCTGCTTTCTGAGCATCTTTAGAAGCTTCAATGGTTGATATCTGGTTGTCCTGAGAAGAGAACAAGAGTAGCAATTTATTTGGATGTTGAATTCAAGATTTTAACTCATGTAATTGTATATATAGATATACATCTTACAGCGTCATTAGACGGACATATGTAGTGAAAAATTAGTCATTGAGTAGACATGGTCATAAGCAGGACAATTTTGTGTCCTGTTAACGATTGAACAATAGAATTACTGCCCTCTACGTACGTTTGCAGGCAGAGGAAACTTAAAGACCTCCCAAGAAACAATAGGTTTAATCATTAGTCATTAGTTTAATTAGTTATGTTGTTTTGAATTTAGGGTTAGGTTTAGGGTTAGGATTATGGTAATATACAAGTTTTTATGATGCCCAGTTAATGAACCATTTAGGGTTATATTTAGATGTCCTGTGAATACAACATGTAGGGTTATATATATTTATATATATATATATATATATATGATTTTGCAACAAAACAGTTCTATAAGCAATCTACATTACAATATCATAACAAATTTGATGAAATTCTTGAAATAATTTTTTTACACAGAGCAAAATGGAAACAAATAAATTTGATAATCATAACTAGATCTTTAATTCAATCAGTCAATTAATCAATTAATCAATCAATCAATCAATTCCTCATTAAATCATTCATTAACTAATTAACAATTACAAAAATAATTAAATCATCAAACTATTCCATCATTTATTCAATCCAATCATTTTCATCTTATATTCAGTGATTCATTGACCATAGCAACTGACCTTGTTCTTCAAGTCTGTCTGCAGTAGTGAGTACTGGTGCTGGCTGTTGGTTAGTTCACCTTTGACCTCTTGAACCTGTGTCTCAAGACCTTTGACCTGGTCCTTGGATGAAGTCAGTTCATCCTTGGTCTGAGATAATAGGATCATCACAATGGAAAAAAATTAGCAGAGACCATTTGCAACATAGATATGAGGGTGGGAGGGGTGGAGGATGTGACTACTTAATGTCTGAGTAAATACGTGGGAAAGTATTTATCAATAGAAAGTAATCGGTGGAGATTCAGATGATATCAGTTTATTCTATAGTTCTGAATCAGACAGTGACAACATGAATACATCATATTCATGAAACAATTGAAGGGCAGAGTAGGAAAATGTTACAATAGCAAGTAACATCAGTCATTAAAAATATTTGTAACTTTCAATTTTGTGTAAAAAATTAATTAATTAATTAATTAATTTTGTTAAAATTTTCTCCTCCTCCTCCTCTCTTCCTCCTCCTCCTCCCCTCCTCCCTCTCTTCTTCTCCTCCTCCTCCTCCTCCTCCTCCTCCTCCTCCTCCTCCTCCTCCTTCTTCTTCTTCAGACTTTGTTGTCATCATTGAGCAATTATATTCAGACTAGAACTGTACCTGTTGGAGTAGTTCCTGGACCCTATCCATGTCCTTCTGCTTATCTTCAAGTGCTGTCTGTGATGTCCGTAGATGACTCTCTAGATCGGCCCTCTGGGTTGCAATGGAGGCTTCAGCAGCATGTAACAACTCATTCTGTGAAGGTAATTGAAATGAATGTATTATTTTAGAGACTTCTCACGAAAGAAGAGGCACGATTTGTTTCATTTAATTTCGTTTATTCAGTTGTGACTACATAATATAGATCTGTTTACATTAAAACATATATGAAGAGGTATAAACATATTTCAAACAGAAATGGCCAAGCATGATGCATTGTGGAAACTGGCAATTAAATACAAGCAAAAAAAAAAGAAGACATTATAAGGGAATTCCTTTAGCTTAGTAATTTGAGCAGCTCTTCTGGAAATAGGAGATCCTGGGTTCTACATCATGATCAAGCCATCAAGAAATAATTCTCAATGATACATGTATAACCCTTTGGATAGACTTAATAGATCCATTGATTCACATCTTGCTTTCCAAGAATATGTATGATTTCTTACAATAGCAAGATTGTTAACCATCACAATAACATCACTTTATAGCTTACATGGATATAGTTTTGTGATAAATAATAATAATGTTCAATTCTTATATAGCTCCTATTACATAATTTTCTCTATGCGCTTAGATAGGAGAGAGAGAGAGAGAGAGAGAGAGGGAGAGAGAGAAGAGGAAATACATCAAAAATATTGAGCCTCCATCGTTTATTACCTACATTTATCCAATCAATTACAAAATTCACACGTTTACTTTATGATCTAAGACTGGCATGAGCAAAACAGATATGTTTTTAAGTTGGATTTAAACTGATGTAGTGATACCTGTAATGATGTGTCATGAATAACTAGCAAAACATTTGAGGGTTCTTGGGGCTGGTTATGAATCATTTCTAACAATAAACAATGATTGGGTAATAATAATAATAATAATAATAATATTCGGCTTTTAAATAGCGGTTAATACATCAACGATGTGTCTAAGGGCTTCACAGATATATTATTACCCCGGTTATCGGATTCAGGCTTACCCGCACACAATGTATGCACATTCTTCACTCCCTGGGGAGCATTCCAGCCGGGCATTATTTATACAAGCGCACACTTGCTCATCTAATCACATTAACTTTCGCATTCTACCGGGTACCCATTTAATACCTGGGTGGAGAGTGGCAAATGTAGATTAACGTCTTGCCAAAGGACATTAGTGTCGCGTCGGGACTCAAACCCCGTACTTTGTGAACTGCTGTCGGGTGACTTATCCACTAGACCACAACCCCTCTGGTACAACCAACATATGTACGTAACATATCTTTTTGTAAACTTTTGAGAGATTATCTTACCTTTGATTTGACTTCAGCTTCCGTAGCTACAAGTTTTTCCTGAGTGCCTGCCAACTTGCCGGTTGTATCTGCCAGATTTGTTTCCGTCCTTTCCAGTTTGGCTTTCTCAGATTCAAGGTGACTCTTGGCCTGGACATCAAACAGACAGCAAAGAGATACCATCAGATGTTAAATATTATCAACTCATTAATGTTGATACCAGGGCAGCTTTTCACGAAACCGTCATAAGAACAAGTTTGCGGACAACCCATTGAAACGCGTGTATTGAATTTAACACGCGTTTCCATGGGATGTCGGTGAACCTGTTCTTATGACAGTTATGTGAAACAACCCCCTGATGTATATGTATATCAGTCTATGAAGAATGTGTAGTAATACCAAAGCGATTGTATTCAACTAGTTACAAGATACTTGAACAACACTTGCCAGTAACCAGTAAAGACAGTTACAACACCACCAGTATAAACCTTAGATCATACATAACTAAGGTGGGAACCTGGCTAACCCGAGTCTCATTGGACAACATATTCACATGCAAAGTGTCAAGTGAAGACGGTTTCTTAATCACAACACGCATAATCACTCCTCAATTCGGAATGTATTCAGACTGAATCTACAAAAAGAGACAGATATCTCAGATGTTTGCTCACCTCTTTGAGCTGTTTGTAAAGCTGTTCTGTTTTCTCGTGATGCTCCTGTGCCAGCGTTTCTTTACTTGCTTCCAGGTCTGATACCTCCTTCTGGAAGTCATCCTATGATATAGGAGAGAATAAATAATACAATTATAACTATGTGTAAGTAACATAGACAGAAAATGTATGCAATGCCTTGTCAATTGTACGAAAAGTTTATGTAATATCTTAGCTTAAAGTATATTACATTTTAAAAGAAAACCTTCAACTTCTACGGTAAACAATAAAAAGAGTCTACCCTTTAAGGGTAGTATAAAGCAGAAAGGAAGTGTCAAATGCATCACTCAAAATATTTCATACAGTTAAAGAAATAAACGGACAACTTTGGAGATTTGACTTACCACTTCTTGTTTGAGTTGTTGGATGGCAGTCTCTACCCCTTCTCCAGCCTGAATCTGTATAAGAGAATCATTATATAAAGATAAAAATACAAGCAGCTTTCTTCACAACCTGTAGGTGCTGTTAGGGTTCTGTTCTAATCACTTTGGCTTTAGCTGAGCTGCAAAAAGTAGCAATAAAAGATTTTGAAAGAACTACCTCCTATCAGATGTCCTTTTATTAAACCTCAGTCAACACAGACATGAAAGCAACTTCAAATTTCATGTCCGCTTCTTTTAGTTTGTACAGAATATGCCAACAGCATGCAGTACTTTATGAACCTAAACATCCTTCTTACCTGTGATATCAGATCTGTCTTCTCTGCTTCCATTTTCTCATTGGCCTCTTTTTGCTTCTGAATGGTACTCTCCAGATCTGTTATCTTAGCATCTCTGTACAAAAAAAGGGTAAATAAAGAGCAATAGTAAATAACTAGCATGAACTATGTCATAAATGTCGAACTGAAATGGATACAACAATGTAAAAGAAGATATCTCAGAAGTATTCATTAGAATTCAAGGTTAAGAGATTCCTATACTTCTATGACCCTGATATGACCTTTGCATGACCTTCGTGAGGAAACGTTTTTAAGTTTTACTATCAAATATTCCCCATACCTTTCTGAGAGATTTCTTGCATGCTCCTCCAACTGCGCTTCCTTGTCTCTGAGCTGTGACCCTAGGTCGTCGCTATGGTTACTCTCTTGTTGATACTGCTGTTTGGCTGTGTCAAGCTGCTGTTGTAGACTACTCACTAGACCCTGCTGTTCCTTCAGAGCCTCCTCAACCTAAATCAAACACACATATACCAAAGACAATGAAGATTACCTTTGCACCTAAGAATTTTGATTTGTGGTTTAAGCGGCCACTTTGAATTTAACCCATTACTTAGCACCCAGATAACTTGGGCTAGAACTAATAAGATAAAATTGTAATCAACAAGTTAAAAAGTATTCAACAAAATTATTTTAGAGATTAGGTAAAGCTTTAAAGTGACTCGATAACATTGCCTCAGATTCTGAAACAAAATTTTGGATTTAGCTCATGCTACAATCATAATTGATGTTTAGGTCAGTCAGGAATCCCATGGCTTTTACAAGCCTGTCTGACTACCAAGATATTTATGACTGAAAATCGAAATTCCAATTTTTGTTTTCCTAACGGTTTTTATAACACTACAGTCCATTGGGGAAAATGACTATGGTAAAACTGGTCACGCAAAGATTTTTACTTTTTTGAGGAACTTCATGATCATTTTGGAGCACAATTTTTTTAGGGCTTCAATATTCCACCATATCACAGACACTGATAACAAGTAGGGCCATGCATCTCATAGTTAACATTGTTAAATGATGCTTTTAAAAGTTAAACAATTTTTTTTGTTAAGTTTTTTTTTAGGTTTGAGGTGTCACTCACCTTGCTGTGTTCTAGCTTGAGAGCAGTCAGTTTCTGTTCCGTGTGTCTGATTTGATCTTCACCAGACAGCCTACTCCCAGATAAATCTTTCCTCACCTTCTCCACCTCCTCATCTCTCTCCTTGATGGATGCTTGCAGCTGCATCAGGCAAAAAAAAAAGGAAAGAAGAAAAAAAAAGGTTACAATAGTAGGCACTCAAAGATACTGCTATTTTGCTCACAAGAATATTATTGCGCAATATCCCCCTCCATTAGAAAAAAAAAAGAAAACTGGAAATTTGTGACATGAATGCCATCATTTTTTATTAGATGCTGCTGATGACGGCTATATGCTGCTATATAAGGGGGAGGATTGGGGAGTCCTGAAAAGGACTGTTGGTAATCTTTCTTTCTTGAGTGTGTGTAGTCCTGAAAAGTCCTTTTCAGGAATCCCCAATCCTCCCCCTCTCACTGACAGGGTGCAATTGTAAGCCTGCTGTATATTATTTTCTTCTCTTAAATCTGACAGTTATATTTTTGTATGCTATATGATAACAAATTTATTAGGTATTCTGCTTAATCCAGATAACTTGTTTTAGCCACTCAGCTACCTCTACTGAAAGTATTACAAATTCATCTGAGATATATTGCACAATTACAGACATAGAATGTGGACAAAAAATATGATATTTCAACATCTGAGATTTGGCCAATCTTTGCCCATCTGTCACATTTTTGTACACACTTTAGAGGAATAAGAATTGAATATTAATTTCTGTATACCTTTTCAATCTGTTGCTGCAACTCCACACTTTGATTGCCCTTGCTGGTGAGCTGATGTTGGTGTTGCTGCTCACTGAATTCAAGTTCTTGCTTCAACTTTTGATTGGCAACTTCCAACTCCTGCAGCCTTTCGTTTGCCTACCAAAACAGTCAATATTTATTTAATTGATTTCACAAATCTAAATCACATGTTGTAGTATGTCATGAAGAAGGTCTTCGAAGGAGGTAAAAATAAAAGAAGATCAAGTGTAAGAAAAGAGGAAAAAGGTAAGAATAAGGACAAGAAAACAGTTTATCAAAAGAGATGGGAACAGTGAATCATGGAAGTAGAAACCAAAAATTGCAATATTAAAGCCGATAAAGTATTGGGAGCTTAAAAAATCACCTAAATTGTATAATGATGTGTAAGAGGAAGTCATTGTTCACAAACTTCTGCAAGGATTTTCAAAAAAATGAGTTTGATGATGAATAGTGATGAAATAATTCAAATCTGTCATAAGTATTCATCTTAAAACAAATTTGTTTTGAAAATCCTTACAGAAGTGTGCGTTAAATGACATCCTCTTTCACATCATTGCACAATTAAGTAATTTTCAAACAAATTTTAGGCTCCTAACACTTAAGAGGGGCTTTAATCACCCTGCTATCCTTCATCATACCTTTGACATCTGTATCTGTAGATCAGAACTCTGGTTGTCCTTTGAGCTAATGTCTCGTTGGAACTGCTGGCGAGTGAAATCTAGCTCCTGCTGCACTTTCTCCTTTAGAACCTCGCTTTCTCTTAAATTTCCCTGAACCTGGGTTTAAGTATGACAATGTTTGGGATCATTTTAGTATGGTATGACATCATGCATTAGTAATGTAGGTTTGGGACTAATGTATAAAGAGCATTGTTTTTTTTAAACATCTTAATGATATGTTTACATGTGAATGAATTCTAATTTCAAATCAATATTCAAGATGTTTTGTAGTTGCTATGGTTTAATTTCTCTCATTTTTGATTTTTTTTTTTTTTTTTTTTTTTTTTTTTGGGGGGGGGGGGGGGGGGGGGGGGGTGGACGGTGGGAAGCATGAACTAGGAACAAAGGGAGGGCAGGTGCAAAGTGGAGAAAGTTCAAAATACTTCAAATCTTTGCAGTTAACAAAATAAATTGGGTATAAAGTCATTGATACAGATACGTTCTGTGAATTCCCATATTTTGTAGGTTAAGAACGGACCATAGCAAATCCTATTCAAGAAGTAGTTGTAATGTTTACCTCGGTGAGTTTGAGTTGTAAGCTGTTGTTTGTGTCTGTGGCTTCTTTGAGCTGTTGCTGTAAAGCTTGACTACTTGATGAGGTCTCACTGATACTAGACTGCAATCTAAGAATGGAAACAAAGAGAGAGATAGAGAGAGAGATAGAGCGAGAGAAAGAGAGAGCGAGAGAGAGAGAGAGAGAGAGAGAGAGATAGAAAGAGAGTGAGTTACAAACTTTTAAAGGACTATTTGTCCATTGTTGAACACACGATTGCAATTGAATGAAATAGAGAGCAATTAGCATTTTTATAAACTCACAACCAACGGATATTCCACAAAACTGACCGTAAGTGCTTGAGTCCACAGGCCGTCATGATAATGTAGGATCAGGGTGATGAACAATTGTGAAGTACAAACATATCTTCATTACAGTGCCAATGTGACACAACTCTTTTTCTACTTTAAAATCAGATTGTTATCTATGGTTATTATTAAGCAGCAGTTAATTAAAAATCTGTTTGTGAAAAAAAAGGATGAAAGACTTACTTCAGAACCTCTTCTTTCTTAGGAGCAATCTCTATCTCTGTCTGTAAAGCCTTGATCTGAGCTTCTGACCTATAATGAATGTAAACAAATGATTAAAAACATAAAATAAACAAATATAGCAATGCAACATGTCCTTAAAGGTATGATTGTCTTTCTGAATAGGTTTCAGAAATCCATTTCAATTACTTCTTTGGATGTTGGTAAAAGTGAAATGATACTCTCAGCTGTAAGTCCAGCTCCCACAAAAAGGTAAACCGCTTAAATGAAAACCATCAAATGTGATTTTGAAAGGCAACAGGAAACCTCATTGAGGAACAGTTAAAAAAATAGCTGCCAGCAATTCTTTGTACCCTACCATCTTAGTGTTAGAGTATACATACAGATATGCGATGGTCATATAAATGCAAGAGTGATATATTTCACTTGATTGAGAAGATGCAGTAAGAGATAGATTCCACCTACTCTTCGTTCTTAGTCTTGAGCTCTCCACAGTGTTTCTCCAGCTCCTTCTTCTCCGCCTCCGCCTCCAGGCTCATCTGATCCATCAGGGTTTGAATGCTAACCAGCTCCTTCTTTAAAACTGTGATGTCATCATCAGCTGTCCTACTGGGTGGAACAAAAAATGAATCAATTAAATATTATTGAGGTTAATTAGGTTAATGAATGAGAAACAAACAACTTATCACACCATAATCCATTGAAGTTTCTCTAAGAATGCTGACAAGCTCCTTCTTTAAAACTGTGATGTCATCATCAGCTGTCCTACAGGATGGATGGAGAGATAAGGGAATTTCTTTTTTTATTGATGAGGTGACCTACAATAGACACCATAATCCATTGAAGTTTTTCAAGGAATACTAACCAGCTCCTTCTTCAAAACTATGATGTCATCATTCGCTGTACTACTGAAAGGAGCAATGGGGGGGATTCATTTTAACAAAAACCCTTCGAGATTGTTGAAAAACAACTAAATACACATCTTGGTGATGCTACAACCAATTTCTCCAACAATATTACTAACTAGGAGGAGCAATGTGCCAGACACGATCACTTAAGAAGAATCCACTACCATTATAATTTACTCATCAACTCTACGTCATTATCAACTGTCCTGCTAGAAGGAGTAATATGGGGAAATGTGATAATGACAATAATAGAAAGACATTATTTGGTGCTGGGAGAAGAAAGGCTTGATTAGATATCATTACATGATCCCATTTTTACAAGAATGCCAACTAGGCCACTGACTTATAATCAGTTACAATTGATATCAATTGCAACTCTGTACATAAGAGATAGGAGACTGCAAACTTGCAATTGATTGGAGGACTTGCGATTGATTCGGATCAATCGTAACTCTTCATAAAATGGGGCCCACCTCTTTCTTCAGGACTATGATGAGTAAATGTTTCCACTGAAAATTTCACAATGAGGATTTTCTCTTCTTAAATGTTTTCAAATGAAACTCTTGATCCCAAATGCTCTCATAAGATGTATGGATATGGGTCGGCTCAATTACCTTTGTAATGCTTGGGACTCCATGACCTTGAGTTGATTGTCCCTGTCCCTCAGCTCAAACTGAAAATTGAAATAAAGATATTCATAACAGTTTAAAATTGTCATATATTAAAGATAAACTTGGGTTCTGGTAAAAAAAGAAAATGAATTCTCACAGAATCTAACGAAACTTACACTGAATGTTCAAGTTTACAAATAAATGTCATGTGCCAAACAATTTTGGAAGAAAATGTATACTGGCTGGGTAACGAGCATAAAAAGATAAGGAAATCAAGGTAGTACTAGCCCCGACACCATGTGTGTTGTCCCACATCTATCTTTCTGTGTACAGTGATTGTTACTTTACCAAGACTGGGCCAAATTTATGATGATTTTGATGACTCCAGAACCTTGCAGTACACACCAATACTTACATGCTATATGATCAACTTTTTCTGATCCATTCCACACCTTTTCTTTCACAATGCAATTGCATTACCAGAACTCACCCTTTATCTTTAAAGAATGCATGAAGCACTTCAAGAACAACCCAAATGGTTTACTTTTAACAGTCCTACACTATTCTATTCAAATTCAACATGATTAAGGACGAGGAGACCCAATGGCTCAGTGGTAGAGCACTGGTCTCAAAACCGGGAGGTCCTGGATTAAAAACCAAGTCGATGTGCTAGTGCCCTTTGGTAAGGCATTGATCCTCATTACCAAGTCCCTCAGAGAGGACTTAAAGCTGTCCGTCCGCTCGTTGCTTACTTACAAGCACACACATGCTGTTAGCACTCAGGTAAAACAAAGCATCAAACCATCACAAGTTTTTAAGTGTTCGTACAGACCCTAAAGGTCATTAGGAATTATAGTAGTAACTTGCTACAAGTACATTAACATGAAATTTAAGAAACTCAAGAACCCTCACACACCTGAGTCTGTTCCAAGGCTTCTTTGAGAGCTAAGTGGTGCCCTTTCTCTTCGTCTAGCTCTGCACGGATTGTGGCTACATCCCCTGCCTATGAAGGTACGAAGGTGAATAGGGAGAGAGAGACGAGGTATCATTTCTGGAGGCAAAAACCAACAACATGGTACTAATAATACTACTTGAACAGTATGTTGATGCACCATCTATTTACTAGTAGTACACTAGACATGGTGCATGCCTAGGGCCATACAACACTGTGGTATTATGCAGTTTCTTAAATGATCAATACTGGCTTATACATTTTGGTAATGTCTTCCAATATGGCAGTATTTAAGGATATTTGACCAGGTTAAATTTGTTAAAGGTTAAATATTTTTTATGTTGCAAAGTGTTTTTGTTAAGTGCTCCGTGAACCCAGTCTTCTTCACTAGTTATGATATGGAAATAAATGTTAAAATAAAAATGGGGAAAAAGGAACAGACAAGGTTTTAATTTTTTTTAATTCAAATATCACAACTAAGAGGTGAGAGAAGGGAGATGTTAAAACATTCTTACCAAACTAGCAGCTTTTTGCTCCATGGCATCTTTAATGGTCTTATAATTAGTTGCTGTCTGCTTGGATTCACCCAAATCTTGTCTTAAAAGGACAACCTCTGAAGATACTGTTTGCACATTAGACAAAAAAAAAGAAGATAATTAATCACAGTTGGTGGAAAATGCACAACACATTTGTTTGTGTACTTATTAATGATAATGATTACATATTGAGATGAGGTCATATAAGTACATTTAAAACATTAAAAAACCCAACATTTTGAAAAATTTGATAAAAAAATTATGTCAGTAGACCTGTTCAAATACCTCCGTCTACATACACATACAAAATAAATTACCAGAAAATTACCATGGAAAATGCTACAGATTCAAAAATGCGTTATCATATTACTGACTGAATATTGTATGCCTGCTCACAAAGTATTACACTCAAGTTGATTAGATGGAAATAAATATTTTACCATAAACAATCCCAATGACTGAATTGAAGTAAATCAAAGTTTGCATCTTCATACAGTAAACACAAAACGGAGTATTTCAAAAGATCTTTCTGTTATCAAGGCTCTGTTATATGGAATGCATTACCCCCTTCTTTACGTTTATTAAACTCACTGGATTCATTCAAAAAACACTGCAAACTCCTTTCTCTCACATAGTTTAAAATAGTACTTACATGAATATTTTACCCCCCCCCCCCCCTTTATTTCAATATTTTATCTTGTTTCATTTTTGTGTTCATTATAACTTATGTATGTTTATATGTTTTGTAAAAATGTTTTTGATTATGTTGATACTGGGCCCCTTGGTCAAGCAGTTTTTATAACTGAAAGGGCTACCCTGTCAAAATAAAACGACAAATAAATAAATAAATACATATTGTATGCAGTACAGTTGTTCTTCTGGTGTATTTTCCTATAATTCCATCTAAAAAGTAACTACAAATACTAAAAAATAATGAGGATTTTTCTCCATGGAAGTTTAATCTTCTCAATTCTGAACCGTAACCCTTTGAGCAATATGCTTTATAGCATTGATAATACATTAATCAAAAATACAATCTACATCTACTTACATAGTGATCTATTCTCCTCTGACTTTTTCAATTGTTCTTTGAACAAATCTGTATCATCCTGTGAAACATAATAAGATTGTATACAATAATGATCAAACAATCAACAATAACAACGAAAAGTAAAAAAGAAGAAGAATAAGAAAGGTTTTCTCTGTGATTGATAATTATTACAAGTGTGAATTAGTATGTGTTTGTGGTTATAGATGCATGTGCTGGTAAATAATTAACATCCCAATATGATCGCTATGTTACAGCAAACTATGCATTATTAAATAGATCCTGTGTATACTCCAAATGTTGTTAGAAGTGCTAAGTCTGCCATAACACACCCCAATAATGAGCAGCAAACTCCATATCATTTACTGCCGCAAGTTAGTGAGGATTGTGCCATGACTTCAGCTATTGAAATTATTTGAAGGAATATAGATCCAGGGGGGTGTTTCACAAAGATTCTAAGTCGAACTTAACTGTTAGTTGGACTTAAATATTATGGGAAGCCATTAGCATCCTTGAAAATATTTTGTAAATTTCTTTGTAGAAGGCATAAAATGTTGATTCAAATCATTCATATTTCCTATTATCATGGGAGATTTCATGTTCTTGGCGTGGAATTTATAAAAAAGTCTAAAACACTTGAATTTCTGCTTTTGGATATATTTCATTTTAAGGCTCCAATGGCTGTCCATAATATTTAAGTCCAACTTAGTGTTAAGTTCTACTTAGGATCTTTGTGAAACACCCCCCAGATAAAAGAAGAGACATATATAAGTTGCTCTCTCTATATGCCGGTGGTTAATATACCAAGTGTGTATCATATTTCCCAAATGACTGCATCAAAGTCTCCCCTTTCTATGTTATGGCTACCTCTCCTTTTCATTTGAAAGACATTATACATAAAATGTGTAATGAATGTCAAATTGTTAAATTAACCTAATTAAGCAATTGGTGAATCAAAATTGTACTTTATAAATTGACATCTGTTTGGCTGAAGTACAACCATACTACTTAATATTATATTTTCTCTGAAAAAATTATAAATTCGAAAGAAAAATGTATTTTTACAGTTTAATGATCTAAATTATAGATTAAAAACTAGAGTGAACAACGGGCTCACTATCAACATTGGCTCTTCACCAGACTTTAATCTGTCCACCTCCTTCTTCAATTCAGTAGCATACCATTGCTCTTCCTTTGGATAGAAGAACAGAAAGATACAAACATGCCAGCAAATATCAAAAGTAAAAACAAAACATGCATATCAAAGCCCCTCTTTAATAAAGTGTTGAGAGCCCCCAAAATTTGATGGCGAAATTTCACTTAAGTTGTATCATAACGTGAAAGAGGATGACGTCATTTAAGAAACACTTCTGCAAGGATTTTCAAAACAAATGTGTTTGAAGTCTAATAGTGATGAAAGAATACACAATTTAGGTTTTCTGCGTACAACAGAAAACCAAGCTCATGTATTCTTTGATCAATATTTGTCTTCAAACACATTTTTTGGGGGAAATCTTTGCAGAAGTGTATCTTAAATGACATCCTCTTTCACATTATGATACAATTTAAGTGAAATTCTGCCATCAGAGCTTTGGCGAAAGTGGGGCTCCGAACACTGCAAGGGGAGCTTTAAATTAGTAAACCAATGAGCATGAAACCCGCACTGAGGGAGAGAGGAGAGGGAGGGAGAAAGAGAGTCCATGACGGTAGAGAGTAAAAATTGACAAGGACGGAAGGAACAGAACATGGGAAATATATAGATAGCTTGGGGCAGACAGAGAGAGAGGGAGAAAAAGAGACATATAGGCAAGGAACAAAAATCACAGCACTAGAATGCAAGAAGGCTGGTATGCAGAAAAAAAGTAATGCAAATCGCTATGTTTGTTGTTCAAGTCTAAAAGGCAAATTGTATTCATGAATAAAATATTAGAGGTCCCTTTGTTGTCATTTTCATTAGTGTGATTGGTTTAGAAATGGTATGATGATGAAGGATGAAGATAAATCTTAACAAAAATACTTTTTTTGTACGAGTTGATATTTCTAAATCATTCTAGCAAGCAAATGCCTTTGGAGATAAAATTGAAGTCAAAATATCTTCTAATATGTGCCAAACTACATCCAATGTATAATTTTTAAATAGTTCAGAGTTTGTATGACATATTGCACATAAATTTAGATTTGAGTCAGATACACACCAACAAATTACATGCCTAATTGTACAATGCAGAAATATCTTCTTTCTCAAAGTATTACACAGTATACATTGCATTTAAGTAGATATTTAAAAAAAATGGATTTGATACAGCACAGCAGGGAAAGCCAAGAAAAGGTTGCAAGTATCAAACTAAAAAATAAAAAAATAAAAAACATCAAGGAAAATTCAACATGAAAAAAAAATCAAATTGCAGCAAAATCTAAAATGGAAATCATCAGCTTCAGGAATAGGGCACAATTCTCATGATTTTGTTATAAACACTCTACAAATACTGCATAAGTCCACATTAGTATTGAGTTCTCAAATTTCTCAGCTTACTTTCAAGGAGGTCTTCAATTCGTTGACTTCCTGACGTAAAATCTCTACATCTCCATCTAGTCTGTAAAAAGAAGACAACAACTTATTTAAATTCAAATGAATCATACTGAATTAATCTTCACCACTTAAATAAAATTACAATCAGTGCATGGTTGAAGTATTGGACTAAGACTTGTGCCCTCTATATAGCAAACAATGCCTAATCCGTGACCATTGGTCCCCATGATCCCCTTTTTCTTATGTTAATTTCGAGCTTATTTGATTGATGAGATAACCCACCTGTCAGTGGCCTTGCAGGGAGGTCTAATCCTTCCTGGCCAACCTAGTGCAGTGGGGCTTCAAATGTTAAAAGAAGGATTGAAAATAATCTCAGAGCCTTCAGATGTGGCATTAGCCCCTGGTTGTTCAGCCTTTTGGATATGATCTAAAATAAAGAGTCCCCTTGTAGTAAAATACTTATAAGAATATAATCATCCCCAGTCAATACATATATAACTCTATCCTTACAATAAAAAGTACTTTAAAATACAGATACTATAATAAATATTCAGGATACAGCAAGCACCCCCCCCCCCCCCACCAACCCATTCCCTCTGGAAGAAAATACGACAAACAATTGTGTGTAACTAGACTTACCGGTCCTAGAGATCCGATTGGTAGAATGGAGCCAGAAAATATCAGTACAGTCCACACAGTGAGTAGTCATCATGTAAAATGAGAACACAAGAAATAAAGATATGAATAGTTGGGATTTATGGTATTTTGAGCTAATTTCATGATTGAAATGTCAATTTTATCTCAACTTATCAACTAAACAGAATTAAAAAAAGGTTGATTATCTCTAAGTTAATAGGGTCAAGTCAAGTCACTCAAAATGATGTGACATAACTCCAAAATAAGAGGAGCATGGATAAATTTCATCTCAGTTTTAGATCTCTAGAGTTGGGAACCCCATTAAAACTCCTTATGTAAATCAATAGTAGTTCTCTGACTTAATTAACCATGATCAAACTTTAAATAGGAATTCAAATTTGGAATTCAAAACTATTAAGGATGAAATACATGAAAGATTAATCTAAGCTAATTCCTGCAGGAGCTCCAGGGACCTTTTTCACAAAGCCTTATTTCAATGACAAATGACAAAAATCAAAAACAAATCTGCTGATAACCAATCAGAAGCGAGGGTTTCAGTAGCTTAAATATATAACAAAAACTGTCAACTGTCACCGATAACAAGTTTTGTGAAATGGGGCCCAGAACTTACATTGGCTTGGACTGAATTCTGACGTGCAGCATTGGTGGTTGCTGCCGGTGATGCTACTACCTCCGGTTCCATGGCCGCTGCTCCTCCTCCGAAGTCTGTGTTATGAACTGACTCCCAGTGGGATTGAAGCTGCTCCGGAGAGGAGAGTGCCACCATACAGGTTGGGCAGATGAACCCCTGTTGATCATGAATAATATTATTATACTTTAATGTAAATTGCTTCATATTTTAGGGCAAGCATTCATAGTTTCAAATCATTATCTTTTATTGTTAAACTGAAGTATGGTACATGTATATGACTGATTAAAACTGCAATGTAGAAAGACAATACAACACTAAACTTTAATGTTTGGGAGTCATCTGTGAAATATCAGATGTCTTCATGATGTTATATTTATCCTAATTAAATTGAAATGCTTCCTAGTCTTTTTCTGTTGAAGTTGTCACAGCAAATGGATAATCTCTATATAACTGATCATTTTAGTATCAAAGCCATAAACTGATGTACTTTTATACCAATTTCTTAAATTAATGGACTCATGTTTACTTTACATGTTTTTGTACAACACTAATTCTTCTGAAGATGACAATTTTTTTTAAAAGATTTTTTTTTGGGGGGTACAGGATATCACTATGCCTGGCTATACTTCTTACTTACCGATGCTTCTTGTTCTTCATAGCCAGAAGACCTACTCGGACTTTCAGGGGTAACAGTCTAGAGAGAGAGAGAAAGCAAGAGAGAGAGAGAGAGAGAGAGAGAGAGAGAGAGAGAGAGAGAGAATTCATACAAAAATGCAGCTTAATACCTAACAAATCCTAATCGTTTTTAAAGCAGATAAAACATTCATTCTAAATGAAATTATTGAAGTCATTAATGAAATTGGAGATAAAATACTGATGTTACATGTATGTGACTGGAAAATGTTTCATTTCTTAAGTTCAATTTTGAAGTTCTGTAACGTGTTTATTTAACCGAGGTAAAATAATAGTTGGCCAAAATCAATCATCAAACATGCTGCATCAAAAACAATCTAAACTCTCCAACAAAACTCAATTAACTCAGGACAGTAGATAAAACAACCTCACACGAAGAAAGACGGAACAGAACTGTCTTTAATATACAAAATTATAACATGTCTCTTAGTACAAATCAGGCATCATAACAAAATAAACCAATCAGGGGAAAGTCATGTGATAAGAGAAACCAATGAGGTGAACCGGCTAGATAGATCAAAGGTGAGAGGCAAAGAGAACGAATGAGAGAAGAGAAAGTGCATGTTGCTAGGGCAGGAAAAGGCAACCATGCATAGATCTAGAGAATGAGAAGACAACAAAGGGAATGGGTTTGGAGGAGAGACATGAAAATAAGGTGTGGCAGTAGTGCAACTGAAAGACTGTGCTGTAAGAAGGTGAATGAAATGGGAACATGAGCTGGGAAAATGAAGATGCAAATGAAGAATGCAATATGTAATAATGGATAAGGAAGAGAGAAGAAATTTACTAACTGAAATATAAAGACAAATTCAAACTCTTACAGTTCCTTAATTTTCAACAATAAAAATTAAACTATTTTAAATATAGATCTACTCATGCACAGTGCCAGATTTTGAAATAAAATCACATTTGATTTTGAGTTGTAGACTATATAATTATTTTCATTGGTTTTGATCATATCACACTAGTGTATTGAATCAGCCAAATTGAGTGAATCCATACAACCAAAGGAATTTGGAGTATTGGATTTGCATTAAATGTCAGACTCGGTTTCTTGACTTGTTTTTGTTGGACAAAATTTTAAAAACAAAACAATGACACACTCACAACAATGCACAAACTACTTTGTCGTTGTCAACACAAAGAAATTATAACCAATATTAATGATGCGCAAACCCCTATGGTTATACTATAGACTCCCCATCTCTATTTTCATTTGGTACGAAGTTATAGCCAGCCAAATCATGAATGTTGCCCAAAATGGGTGATTCCCCTTTTCATCTCCACTTTACTTCAGTCCCATCCGGATACATTCATGTAATGTTTCTGAAAGCGAAAGTGTGTTTACAATTTTAACATTCCAAATTTATATAAGTTGTGCATATAAATCCTTAAATTTAATTTCCTCACCTTCACGCTATCCCTAGCTTTCCGTCCAAATCGCTTGATGGCATCCATTGTGATTAAAAGAGATACAAATTCGTTAAAATTGTCGACAGGAAGCTCAGTCTGTTGACTGCATAATACGGTAAATGCATTAATTGTTGGTGACACGCCCACATGCGCGATAGACTTGCGCGCTTTGAGCTTTGATCCAGCTATGGAGAAGGAAATTCGTGTTGATGTGGAAGACTAAAGAACTTAGACTATTTGTCAACATGAAATGACTTTTATATTTAGTCCACTGCTTTGTTTATACCCTGTGCTACCTTACGCAAAGTTCTAACTGGGTTTTGGTGACATAAATGAGAGAGATTTCAGTTTTCAAACCAGCTACAGCGACCACTACCGTACGAGATCAACAGCTAGCAGCTAGCAGCAGCTCCACCGCCCCGATCCGTCGAGCCAGCGCACGGGGGAGTGTCCGCTCGGCTCAGCCCAGTGAATGACGTGAGTTTGACAAACCCTGACTCCTGAGCTGTCAAGGTCTGGACTGGTCTCGAGTTTATTGAGTCATCCTGATGTGACTTGTCACTTAGCTTGGGCTGATCTTTTGGGTTTTATTTCTGCACATCCAGCTGAGTCTGGAGCTAATTAAACCTGCTGCCCCAAATCCTTAACTCTAGTTGATTTGTCGCTAGGCTAGATCTAGACTTATTTTAATTATTTTATTTCATTAACTGTGATAAATGTTTTTCAACTTCACGTTTCAAGAGCCAAGACTTCTTGTGATTTGGAAAATAATAAAAGACAAAGACAGAGGTCTGTCAAATGACCAAGGCTAAGGTCTAAGGTTAAGCTAGCAAAAGGATTCATTGTATTGAATTTTTATGTCTTTAAAAAAAGAAATATACCCCCATGCGCGTATGCGGGCCATGCCATGGTTAATATGAATGGTACGTGGACTACAAATAATGATCGTTTGCTTATGTCGTGTTTTCATATTACTATTTCTGCATATTGGTAACTAAAACTAAAAATCAATGCAGGCCCATAGGAAAGAAATGAGCCTGCCGCATACTCCTGCGGCAGACTTGCCGCAGATCTGCAGCAGACCTGCCGCAGACAGTCATCTTTTTCACATGCAAATTAGTTTTGCCGCAGACTTGCCGCATACTCTTTCAGTATGATGAAGAGTCTGCGGCAGGTCTGCCGCAGACTTGCCGCATACTCTTTCAGTATGATGAAGAGTCTGCGGCAGGTCTGCCGCAGACTTCCTGCAGACCTGCCGCATACTCTTTCAGTATGATGAAGAGTCTGCGGCAGGTCTGCCGCAGACTTGCTGCAGACTTGCCGCATACTCTTTCAGTATGATGAAGAGTCTGCGGCAGGTCTGCCGCAGACTTGCTGCAGACCTGCCGCAGACTCTTCGTCATGAATATTCATATCTCATATACTGTAGACCTGCTGCAGACCTGCCGCATACTCTTTCATATCCAGTACGTGGCAATAAAGTATGCATGTAGAAGAACCAGTGATAAACTGATACTTCATAATCAATTTTGGCAATATCGATATTGCAAATTAGGTAATTGTCGATATTACCAATTAGGTATATTCTATTCTCAATTGTATTAACTTCATCACATTGTTCATTTGAAGTGTATTCAAGAGTAGCATTTAAAGTGACACAGGCTCGTACACATATATATACTAAATATGTATATTGTTTCTTGGTTAGTAATCATAGTTTCTTGGTTAGTATTCAATATATCTATTGCTTAAACGTGAATGTAATTGTAACATGATCAGACAAAATAATCTATTGGTTAATAATGGCAAAAGGAAAATAGAAATCACAAAAATGATGTGCATTGTCTTAATTTGCTTAACAAATCATGATAAATGTATTTTTCTGTCACACGTATAAAGTAATAATGAATATGCATGAGATGATTGGTTTCAATTGGCCCTATTAGACTTTAATGGGATTTCCTGTGGCAGACCTGCTGCAGACTGTTCCTGTGGCGTACTGGTATGCGGCAAGTCTGGAGCAAAGTTTCGCCCTGCCGCAGATCTGCCGCAGACTGTTCCTGTGGCATACTAGTATGCGGCAAGTCTGGAGCAAAGTTTCATCCTGCCGCAGATCTGCCGCAGACTGTTCCTGTGGCATACTAGTATGCGGCAAGTCTGCAGCAAAATTTCATCCTGCCGCATATCTGCCGCAGACTGTTCCTGTGGCATACTGGTATGCGGCAAGTCTGGAGCAAAGTTTCATCCTGCCGCAGACTTGCCGCAGACTGTTCCTGTGGCATACTAGTATGCGGCAAGTCTGCAGCAAAATTTCATCCTGCCGCAGATCTGCCGCAGACTGTTCCTGTGGCATACTGGTATGCGGCAAGTCTGCAGCAAAATTTCTTTCTGCCGCATACTTCGGCATACTCTTTGCCGCAGACTAAAAGTCTGCGGCAGGTCTGCGGCAGGTCTGCGGCATACTTTTCACTTTCCTATGGGGGTTGGTCTAAGGTTGCGGTTGCCAGTCAGACTTGGAGAAAATCTCACAAATTACACACATGTCTTGTTTTGTTTGCATCTTACTTAGTTTCAATAGTGATTTTGAATTTGATGTATAAAGTTACCAAGAATCATTTGAAATTAATTTGAATATTGTTTGTTCTCTTTTCACAGGCAAGATGGCTGCCATGGCATCCACTGATGATAGCCCAATTTATGAGGGATTCCTCTGTCCGATGTGCCTTCAGAACTTTGACTCTGTGTATCAACTCCAATCCCATGTGGAAAGTATGCTGATGAAAAATCTCACTTTTATACATGTACCTTAAACACATTATAAAGTAAACATAAAATCATAAGGGCTCTCTCATGTCAAGATGATTAATACTGAAGAACTAATTAATACCAATACAACTGTGATCATTAAATCAGATGCAGTGATTTTTTTTCTTCTTAATTTAAGACCAAATCAATGATGAGGTTTCTTCATTTAGTTTTGAAAGTTACAAGATGGCAATAAAGAGATGGGGTTTGTAATACAGTGTGGTCCTATCACTGTCAGTCCTGTGGGATTTTTCCAATTATTTTCTGTTTTAAGAGTCATCATGATACAGTGTAGGTGTATCAAAAATAAGAAAATCAGTTACATCTATGTTGTACCCCTTTGATTATTGATACCAACCCTGTATATTATTCTCATGAAATAACTAACTTAATACTTTTTATGGTATTTCTTATTGCTGGCTCATAACTGTAAAACACAAGGTAATAGATGATCATGAATGCTAGCAAATGCAAAACTTCCAAGCTACAAACAGCAAAACCTTTACCCCAATTGTTTTTATTGTTATTTGTTCTTGTCTAGGTGCTCATGGTAGTGAAGACAAAGTCGTATTCAGAAGGTTGAAAGGATTCTTTGGGAAGGCCAGGCATCTCATCACCAACAGATCAGAGGAACATTTTGAGGATGTCTCAAAGGATGAAGCAGGAGAAGGATCACCAAAGAAACAACCATTGCTTGGCACAGACCCTTTTACTTGGGAAAACCCAGAGCTAGGTATTTATCATTATCACATGTCATACTTGTACCACTATCATGCATTGTAATCATTACCATTTCAATTCAATTCATTTTTATTCATTTCCATTTTCACTAAAAATAACAGTACAAAGATTCATACAAAAATAAGCATTTGCAATATATCAGAAAATAAAAAATAGCGAACTAAAAAAAAAAAAACTAAATGGCCTTGTGGAGGCATTGTTTCTTGAACAGTAGCAGGGCTCGAATTTAGCGGTGGCCCGGTGCCAATGGCCACCTGAAACGCTGTCGGGCCACCTGAAATCACCGACTAGATGGCCCGGCTGGCCACCCAAATATTTGGACAGTAATATATAAATTATTTATCAACAACTTGTTTAACCTTTAGATCTACCCGAAACCGAGGCGACATTTATTTTTCCAAGCTTTTCCAAGCGACGCAATCCGATCTATCAAACAAGGAAATGTTTCGTTTCGCATACTAACTTTATAAAAACGATGCACGCCGTCGCGTAGGTACTGTACACACCGCCGCCGCCACCCCGGCCCGGCCGGTACATAGGCGTAGCGCTATCATAGTATGCTACCGCGTATAGGGCAGCTGGCGATATCCGCATTGCAGCACAGCTAGTACGCTTCTCAACTCTTTGTTGCGCAGTTACAAACTGCGCATGAGATTTCGGGCGGGTAACTTGGGGATTCCCAAATCCCAGCATTGTGATTGGTGTATTTGCGACTAATTGTGGACTACACTAAGCAACGAGGGAACAACAATGGGTGTGTCTGGTATTTGACATTATGATTGGTGGAGTTAATATTGATTGAAAATAAAAGTAACTCAATCAGTGTACGTGTGTACGTGTGGAAGCCGTGCGAGCTTCATAAAATGAGAATTTCACGTGTTTTTTGTTTGATAACAACGTAGGCCTACGGCGGTACGCTTTGTTGGTGATAATGTACGCTGTTCTGTTGTTAATTTTCCGTGATTATCGATTGAATAATTGATCTGTTATTACTAGGTAACAATCATCATTGATGTTCATTAGTTTAAGTTAAACGGGGGATGTTCACGTTTTATTTGTAGCACTACATGGACCTTTTTAACTAAATATAATATAAGGCCTAAATAATAAAAAAAAATTCAGGGCCATGAATTTTGATGGAAAACAAATGGCAAATAATTTGCTAAAATCTGATCTTGTGTCCTGTACATAACATGTATGCGAGGTATCCCTGTCCACTGACGCGTAAATTATTTGAGCAGTAATGCCTGAATCACATTTCCTCTAGCTCTACGGAGCCCGTACGATGTTTAAAAACAGCCGTTTCGACCAATTTCGTACGGTGTGGTTCGTACGAAATTGGTTTAAACGGCTGTTTTTAAACATCGTACGGGCTCCGTAGAGGAAATGTGATTCAGGCATAAGAGAGAGCGATAGACGGATCGAGGTAACGCAGCCCCGTCTCTGACAGTTTGTTTACGAGACTTTTACGATTGCCGATAAGGCCAAGTAAAAAAAAAAAAGTTTTGTTTATCGTGACTTTCCTTTTTCTGATTGATGTGGAGGTCCTACCACCTTGTTTAATAACACTAGATCAGGGAAAGGCAATAGTATACTCAGGTATTGTTACGTAGAAGATTCAAGATATAGTCTTACAATACTTATCAAAAGTCTACCGTTATAAAATAGGCTGCTATTATATAGAAATTAGAAAAATATATATTTGAGTCTTGAGAAAAAAATTCATTAATTTATTTCAATTGGCCTACTTTCAGAATAATATTTGGATCTTTTTAGGAGTTGCCGGTTTGATTCTTTATTGGTTTCCTTCCCAATGTCAACCAATTTCTAAACAGATAATATGAATAATAATACAATAATAAATAATATGAAATTTATCATCGATCATCAGTAGTAAATCACTTGGTTGAAATGTACGGAACGAGATGCAAATATTAGTTTTAAATGGTCCTCCACGTGCTAATACATGTACAGGCTTCGTTATCCGCTGTACAACTTGTACATGTGCGCGTTTGTTTTCTACCTGAGCAAAAGTCGATCAGAATGATCTAAAAGTAAGTCTTCTAAAGATGTGGCGATTCCTTAATGTGTCTAACCCTAAAGAAGATCAGGACAAAAGAAAAAGGGAAGCAAGGGAAGAGTACGAGAATGAGAAAAGGAAACGCACGTACCGAAAAGAATGGGAACGAGATTTCAAGTGGTTGTCATACGACGACGACAACGGCGTCATGGTTTGCCGCATTTGTCGGGAAACCAATATGACTGGAAAACCCGGGACAGGAAGGAATATCTTCTTTGACGGATGCAGTACTTTTAAACTGTATTCCATCAAGAGACACGACGAAAGCGACAACCATCAACGCGCGATGGGGGCCAAAGCCGCCCGAGAGGCACTACCAGGGACTTCGAAGGCGGAGAAGATGGTCCAGAAGATGAACCAAAAAGTTGTGGAGCGTCTGATAATAATATTCAGAAATGTTCACGCAATGGCCAAACACTACCGGCCATTTACCGACTTGGTTTGGATGGCATCACTTGACGAAGCTAAAGGGCTAGATGTCGGCTCGACTTACAGGAACGACAAATCTGCGCAAGTTTTCACTAGCTTCATTGCAGAAGTGAGTTTATTTATCAATATTTAATTATTCATGTGATTGTCCTTTTAACTTTAATTAAAAAAATTTTTTAAATGATAACTGGCACATAATCAGGGCACATAATTTATGAATGATCGAAATAAATTTATATCAATAATCATGCGTTAGCCTTAAGTTAGGCCTATAAGTCGGGGAGTTATTAAGCATGAGAGACGGAGGAAGGGTTGGAGTGGGGAAAGAAAGAGAGAGAGAGAGAGCCCAGAGGGAGAAAGGAAAGTAGGAACGATGAAGCAGAGTAAAGGCGAGAAAGGTCAGAGAGAGAGAGAGACACGTGAAAATAAAGAGGAATTAAAAAAGGGAGAGAGCAGAGTGAAGAAGATGAGGAGGAAGAAACAGTGCGTCGGAAAATAGAAAGGAAGGAGGGGAATGACCCGAGCTGTGAGAAAGAAGCAAGGGTGGAGAAATCAAAACATTTATTTAATTACTTATTATTTACAGTAGTATATTAAGTATTGCACATCCAAGAAGTTAAAGATTAATTGACAGGCGTACCAAGTTATGTTTTTCTTTTATTTAATAACATTGTACTTTGTTACATTATTTTGAAGCTTTGGTTATTGAAATGACCTGAGTAATTTTATGTTTCAGAATCACACTTCCGATTATTACCAACATTACATAACTTGATGTTTTCTTCTTTAAATTGGCAATACTAGTATTTCTATTAAAGACCCATGTAGTTGTCAAATTATGTTTGATTGATTACAACTCCGAAATTTCATCAGATTTTTTAAAGACCCACCTGCGTGGATTGGTTCTGTTTCTATCATTTTTGTCCCTCTATTATTAAAGCCATAAAATCCCAGACTAGACTTCCTCTTTAACTAAATTTGTGACTGTGTGTATGAACCATAAGGTTTTGTTTTTTTGTTTTTCAGGTTGAGCGAAGGGAGATGTTGAAGCGTGTTCAACGCTCCAAGTTCATTTCAATTATCAGTGATGGAACTACTGATGCGTCAGTGACTGAGGATGAAATCGTCTTCCTTCGGCATGCGTGTAATGGCTCAGTTTACACTGAGTTTGTGGCAGTTGTGGGAGTAGTCACTGCTGATGCCAAATCCATCACCGATGCCATTCTTCATTCACTTGCTGAGAGACTCGAACTGGATACTGCTTCTATTAGCCGAAAACTGGTAGGTTTCGGATCGGATGGGGCAGCAGTGATGTTGGGGAAAAGAGGAGGAGTGGTTTCTCATCTGAGAGAACTCAGTCCAGCCCTTCAAGCGGTACACTGTACTGCCCATAGGCTCGAACTGGCGTTCAAAGATGCAGTCAAGAACGTTGCTCTCTGCAAGACTGTCAACTTGCTTCTTCTCAACTTGTATTTGTTCTACAAGAACAGCTCGAAGAACAGAAGCTCTCTCAAACAGGCAGCAGAAGCTGAGGGAGATCCAAAGCTATTCCCAACAAGGGTTGGAGGGACACGTTGGTTACCTCACCTGCAACGGGCTTTGGGGAATTTCCTCAGGGGATACCGTGCCATCACAACTCAACTGCAACAGGTACATTATTTACTTGTAGAATTATTCATGGAATTTTGAAACCAAAATATTAGTATAATTTAATTGAACTTGTCTTTCAATAACATTTGTTTTTTCACATGCCACTCCTTGCGAAATATTTCTTTTTCTTTCTTTTTTTCAATCTCAATCAATGCTGAACAATCTAACAGTACTGGGTATGTACACTTATTTGAAATTATTTTTCTGACAAAATTACGTTTTTCAATAAATACATTTTTTTTAAATTACAGCTTCAAGCACAACCAGGAGTATCAGTAGATGCCAGAGCGAAGAGCAAAGGGTTCTTGAAGCAGATGAAACGGAAAGACGTAGTTCTTTTTGCTCACTTCATGCTCGATGTTGTGACAGTCCTCTCCAAAGTGTCACTGACAGCACAGCGGTCAGAGTCCACTGTTCCTGAAGTGGCTAGATCCATAGACATGGCATTAACGACCCTCAAGAAATACAGGAGCAAGTAAGCATCAAATTTAATGTTATTGTATATCATGATAATTAACTACTAGTTCAGGCCTGTACTAGTTGGATAAATTCTTTTATTAAAATATTTATTTCATTTTGATAAATGAAGCTTATCATTGTTTTATAGTATTATAATACCATAATTGCTGTGTCAAATACAATTATTTTGATTTCGAAAACCGTAATTGGCTTTTGTGGTTTGAAATGTTAGTTAGCCACAATGACATTAAGACATTCAAACAATACATGCTCTTATTATAAAATTAATCACAGTTTTTTTTCTTCTTGGATTTCTTTTCACAAATTTACTCTCTGTCAGGAAATCATCACCACGTCTGCAATGCTTTGATGACCCGTTCCGTGGTGGTCCAAATGAGTTGACAGGGAGTGACAACATTGAACCAGGACTGGTGGATTTGATAAACGGCCTAGAGAAATCCTTGCTTGGAAGATTTGACGACATGAATGATGAAGTGCAGGCAGCAATGCAGATCCAATGCTTAAGCTCCTGGCCACAAGAACATGAAGATGATGAGGGTAATTAATTCAATACTTTTTTTTTTATTAACATTGTTGATCATCCTCACAACTTTCATTGTGTTCGCATCTTAATAATTTGCAGCACTGCCCTAATATTGTGAACTTTAAAAAGTTATCTCCCTAAATAACAAATAAAGGATTTTGTCAGGACAGTTTTCACCCACGAAAATAAATAAAGTATTATCAACCATTGATTGACTTATCATGTTTATTCTGAGTCCATGTATTTTGCAATTTCCCTGATAAGTATGATCTACTGTACATCATTTTGGCAGATTTCGGCGATGAAGCAGTGCAGACGCTCCGCCATCAGTTTGAACCAATGCTGAAGGATGCTGGGGTAGATCTTGACTCTCTTGGTGTAGAGTGGGACCTGTTCAAGGCAAGAACATATCATGTGAAGTAAGTTTAATTTTTATGAGCTGAACTATTAAATAATGATATTAATATGACTGAGATCTGAATATTCTAAATTTAATCAAATTATTAATAACTTTCTCAGTCTCTTGTTTAGTTTTGAATACAAATGTACAATAATATCCTGTAATAAACTATAAAGTTTCATATTAAAGCTGGGTTAAACTTATAGTTTTGGTAAGATTCAATAATATCAATCATATTCGGCTCTTATGAATCACTCCAACTCTTAAAAAAAAAAGGTAAAGTGACCGTTACACTAATTGTTTACACCTTGAATCTTTGTTGTGAAAATTTGAATTTGACCGTTAGACCAGATCTAGCGCCCTCTATACGGCAGTGATATTATTTCCTTAAGATAGGCCTTCCAAACAATTATTTCATAGATTTACTTTAGCTAATTCATGTCATAAAGTTAGAAATAAAGATATTTTTCTGAGATTTTCCTCCCCTTTCATGAGTTGACTGTGATTGTTTTTTATGATCAATTCATAAAGAAAAAGATATCTAATATTCCAGGACCTCGGGCGACTTTTGATGAATTGTTTGTTTGTTTTTTATACCGCGGCAGCATAACTGTACCCTGGCTTTAAACACCACTAAATAATTAATTCCCTCTTTTATCATTTTAACTTTATTTAAAAGGAAGAGCAAGAAGGGCCAGCAATGGACAAGCATCATACCTGATCTTCAAGGGGACATGCCAAACATATGTTGCTTGATGGACCTTCTGCTGAGCATTCCAGCCAGCTCAGCAGAAGCAGAACGTGGGTTTAGCCGCCTGAAGCTGGTAAAAACGAGCTTAAGAACATCTCTCAAGGATGAGAATGTTACTAACTCGATGCTAATCGTGATGCACAGCCCCAGTGTTGCAGAATTTAGCCCTCAGCCGGCTATAGACCTGTGGTGCTCGTCAGGAAATCGGTCAAGGAGGCCAGAAATGGTGCACCGTAGACCAGGCCCTCACTCCGACTCAACTGATTCATCAGATCATAGTGATCTTGATGAGGACTTTGATGTGGTTGAATTTGATGAAGTTGATGAACTAGTAGATGAAGTTGACAGTCACAGTGACACCGACAGTGGCTGAAGTCAAGAAGAGTCATATGACAAGCCCAGGCCCCTTTGGAAACTTGTTTTATCAAATCTTGAGTTACTTAAAATGTTTAGTCAGCATTTGATTTATTTTTGGCAATCAAAACAATTATCTGCAAATTAACCTGCCTTTCATGTAAAAAAAAAGAAAAGATGTCTTTGGACGTGTTGTTAATATATTACACATTTATATTTTCCTATATTAGTTTTTTGCCAAAACTTATTCTTCCACAGGACTGGTGCTACTTTTAGTCGATGTGTTTGCGTTTGTTTCTCGTTGTACAGAGAAGTATTTAATCACTTGAGTGACTGAATGCAGTTTTAGTAACAGGGTTACTGGCAATACCTTGAAAGTACCTTGCCAAAACCGAAAAGGCAATTTACAGCCTTACAATTTATTTAGTTGTTTCAGTTTGTTCTTGAGGTAACTTTAGTTGAGTTTAAATGTTTAGTCAGCATCTAATTTATTTTTGGCAATCGAAACAATCATCTGCAAGTTAACCTAGCTGCCTTTCAAGTTTCATGTACAAAAAAAAAGATGTGTTGTTGATATATTACATATTTATATTTTCCTATAATAGCTTTTTACCAAAACTTTTTCTTTCACAGGACTGGTGCTCCTTTTAGTCCATGTTTGTTTATTGTTGTACAGAGAAGCATTTAATCACTTGATTTACAGGGTAACACCTTGAAAGTACCTTGCCAAAACCGAAAAGGCAATTTGCAGCCATCCTAATTTATTTAGTTGTTTCAGTTTGTTCTTATAGGTAACTGACTCAAGGGCGGGTAGCCCATATATAATTATATGCATGTTCTTCACTGTCCATGCTAAGAAAACATGCAGTGCAATAAAATGTTGTCTTGAAGAAAAAAAAGAACAAAAGAAGAAATTCCGACTTAAACTATTTTGAATGACTTGGTGCTAATCTTTCCGTGTGTGGTCCTCTTTAACTGCATGTATTTTTGCATGATTATTGACTGATTATCCAATCCAGAATAACCAGAAAATATAAAAATAATAAATTACAAAAATACCATTTATTCAGTTCAGAATAGAAGTACAACGTCAAGTAAATATACAATCAATTTTATATCTTCCAACAGAACTTGGAGCTCAAAGAAAAGCAGAAGTTTGGCGCCTTGTGTGCCCTGTACAATCCTAACTTAAGGGGGAGGGGGTCCTTGTGAGCATGATAGTCAAGGAGAAAGGGAGAAAAACATTGAAGTGAAGTTGAGACAGAAGTATAGAAACAAAGAGAGAGGATTTGGAATGAGAGTCTAAAGAGTCACTCACCTTTCATTATTAAATGCAGCTCATGCTGCTTTTAACACGTATAATTTATGCATTTTTTTAATTAAACATTTGCATTATTTAATAACGCATAAAAGTGGGGCCACCTGAAAATCCATTTGGCCACCCAGATCTCCTACCCAAGTGGCCCTGCTGGCCACCTCAAAAAAAAGTTAAGGGCAAGCCCTGAGTAGTTAAGAGATTTACTTATACAAACAAAACTAAAAAAAGACACATACATGACAAAACATTACAGGGGCATCGTTCAAGGCAGGTACTACAGATGAAAGTAATCATCATCCTCACCACCACTATCACTCATCATCAAAGATACCATCATCATAAACGATATACATCAGCAGAAACAAATATTTGTTTGTGCCCTTTGAATTTTTGTTTGTTCATATCCACTTTAATAGCAGTGTTATTTTCATTGCTTCTCTCATCATTTACATGTATAGTATCTGAGCAGACTTCAATATTCTGTCTACATTCTTTTTTATTTGTCCTGATGTGTGTGTTTAAAAAGTGTGGTAATTCTTCTTTTTACCAAAGAAAATTAAGTTGTAAATTAACTATTACCAGTATTTGATATTTTCAACCCTCTCAAAATGTTGCTACATGTAGTTATACTTGAAAAAGAAGAAGAAATCAGTTTAGAAAGTTTATGTAGGAACTCTTTATACATATGATTGCCCAAGAAAACTGTTGTTCTATTTATCACATTTTGAGATGAACATATCTATCCAAATATATCTACACACTGTAAGTTGTATAACAACGTTATAGAAAAACAACAACACATAAATGCATTGAATTCTCGTATCTGATACATATTGATTAACTGTTTTAAGTTTCCAAATGTATTATTCTTGCTTCTTCTTTTTTATAGCTGTTCCCAAAAGTTTTTAATAGATTAAAATAACTTTTATTATACAGGAGCATCCAGAAGTCACTTTGAGTCTCTGAGGAGGATACGCAGTGATAGGATGGATAGAACAGTTGTTGAAATCAACAAGCTTGTCATCAGACTTGAGAAGCTCATCAAACATGGACCCCCTATGAATGATCAGGCTAAAAGAAAAGGTAGAGCATCTCTTAATATACATGTATCTCCAATTATACATAGAACATGATCTCATTTCTTTGTAGTAACTTAACAAATATTATTTCCAGACAAACAAGTTTGCCTGCATGTTTACTTGCAGTATTAAAAAAAAAAAGTAATCAGAGTTTTGGACTTGAATGTACTTTTGTTTATAGATTATGGAAGTTAGAGAAAATGACAGCAATATGGAAACATCAGCATAGAAGTATATGCATGTGTTTGGGAGAAGGATGGGAGAGAGCGAATTGGGAGAGAGATCCTTGTGGATAAAAAAAAGGGGAAAATTTTGAGAAAGGAAGGGGTTCCGGGACTTAAAAAGTTTAAATTCAAGCATTATTTACAAAAAAAGTAAAATGGCCTGTAGTTTATTCATTCATTCCTTGATAATAAACTAGCCATGTCTATTCTGCTTCTTCACAGTATATGAAAAGACCATTGTGCCTTGGGCGGAAGACTCTGACGTAAGGTTTTGCCCATCTTGCGGTGATAAGTTCTCTTTGGCTGTGAGGCGCCATCACTGTCGACTGTGTGGTAGTATTATGTGCAACAAGTGTTCCAGCTATGTTGGCATCCCTTTCTGTGGTAAGCAATACAAAATCTTTCTAGTGAATGTTTAAGGATTCTGCAAGTAGGGTTAATAGTTCCCCTGATTAGGGGTGTTTTATTTTCAGGGGGGGGGGGGTGGAGATGCCCACAATTTATTTCAGCAGTTAATTGGCATGGCATCTTGATAGTCTAGGACTGAGAGAAAACACAACAACATTACATTCCCCCTTAGCTGTTGTTCTGTAGTACCTTTAGGGGTACATGGAGTAGACCTGGGATACATACTTTGAATAGTTGAAAGGTTATCACAGGCTTGCCTTGTACTGATATTTGTTATGGATCTGAATCAAGACTGACATGACGTAGACACAACATGGCGTGTGTGTGTGTGTGTGTAAATGGGTTTTTGCAGACATGTTTGATTATTTACGTCTTGAGGCCGATCTTAACATCACCATCCGAAAGACATGACTCAGTTTCGAACCATGATCTGCCCGAGTCAGTTTGTAAGATAGAAACCTTAATACCAAGTGAATGTGCCGTAGACCAACTTTTATCCATGACCTGTTGGTTTTTATTCAGACCCATAAGGAATATTGGTACATGCCTGATATAGAATAAACTAGACAATGGATCCAACAGTCTCATTATTAAAATACATAAGATTTGAACATTTCAGTGAAATAGTTAAATACTAAGGCATTATAGGAGAAGCATTTAGAGATGTAAACTCGTCAAATTCATGGTATATATATTCATATGTATATATATATTATATTGTTTTAATTTATAATGATTTTTTTTGTATATCTTTTGATGTGTTTTTAAAGTGATGTGAAATAAATTGAATACTTGAATACTTGAATATATAATTCCTGTAATAAGCTAGTGAACCAGACCATAAGTTTGCCAATGACTCTTATCACACTGTTCATTGATTGTAAATGTGTCTTCAATTCAATTTCAATTTACATCTTATCCATGTTCCCAACAAAACATTAACAATCACTTATAAACATTTACAACAAATGTAGAAATACATGTTGGAAACGGAGGGGTCCACTAAAAAGCGATGCTTGTACAAGTGTGAACACCTCAAATGATACTTGGGAATAATGAGTAATTAAATTAACAAGTCAGTTACTGTTTTTTTCTTCAGATCAAGTACTTGAAGCTGAATCCAAAGGAAGCACATCTTCCAAGCAGGTGCATGCGGAATCCTCACCGAGTAAGAAGGGGGATGTAGTGACACTCAGGGTCTGCGAACATTGTGTACACATCATGGAGAAGAGGCTGAAGATGGTCAGAGAACGCAATTCCAAACCGGTCATTGTCCAGTTGTACCAGGTAATCATACAAAGGATTATTTGCCTGCTTCGTATCGGTCAACTTGATGAATGCCCATTTGCCTCATTAGATAATGCCCGATATACCATTGATTAGGGAATGTGAGCATGATCTAATAGGTATCCAACCATTATGTGAAAGCAACCATGAAGAGATTTGATTATAGTTTGATATTAAGTTTAAGGCAAGAAGCAGCCAGCTTATTTTCCTTGCAATACCTCAGCAAATACCGTGCATCAGTTTCCATCATTGTGACAGGATGAACTTTGACTTTAATAAGGGACATTCTATTAAAAATTATTCTTATAATTTTTGAAGCAGTAAACACTAGCCTAAGAGTTTCTTGGAATCAGGAGGATGAAAGGTCATCCTGATGGGATTAATTTTATATATAGAAGTGATTTTATAAGTAAAAGGCTTTTACAAAACTGTTTATATCTTCTTATCAGGTTTTATTAGAGCAAATCATATAATAATGTTTCCATTTTTTCCTTCTCCACACAGAAAATGATTGAAGTCAGAGAGCAGATTCTAAGACAGCTTCCTATATATGAGAAGACTGCTGTTTCCATTTTGTAAGTATTGTGTCAGCAATTGAACTCATTGCTTATTTAATCATTATAACAAAAAAATGTAGAACATATTGGAACTGAAGGATGATTGATTCCATTCCTTATCAATAAAAAAACTTTTAAACATTTCATTTGTTGTTGTTGTTATTTATATCAGTGCTTTGATCAGTTTTCTGTAAAAGTGCTTAATAGGAATTAATTATTATTATAATAAATTGAATTGAAGTGCCATTTACTGTGATTATTTACTTCAGTTTGTCAGCAGGGAATGCTGAAGCTGTGTGAAGACTTGTCTTTAGAATTTTACTTGAATTATATGTTTTTTCTTTTTTCTTTCAGGAATGGTGAAGAAGAATATTCTTATGAAAGAGCAGAGCGAGAGAGAACAGTGCTTCTGAAATATTTTGATGCTCTAGATTTATTAAGGTGAGCAAAAACTTTGATTGAGGGATGTTGTATAAACTATGAATTTTGTTTGGCCTGCAGGTAAAACAAATTGAGATATGAGCCATATGGTCTGTGGCAATTAATTCCACCCTCAAAGGACAACTTTTTAGTAATTATTATGTTCGTATCAATGTTTCCAGTATATATTTAAAAAAAAAGTTATGTTAAATATTAAAGTTTTAATATATCTGTGTATTGTAGAAACCATGTTCATGATACATATATGCTCTATTCTCGTTTTAATAGCATTATTTGATAGTTATAATGCTACACTTCTAAAGTATTCAGATATGAATTCATACATTTGGGGGGGGGGCAGTACAGGAGAAAAAGCAATGACTATTTGTTATTCTTCATATTTTCTACATTCCATCTCCAGCAAAAAGATATACTCACTTGGTTCAGGGACAGACAAGACTTTGTCCTCTGCTCAAATGAAGCTCAGGAGGAACATTCGAACCGAGGTCATTCGCTTCCTCCAAGACCACATGCTCGGGCTTGACCCTTTGCCCTCCGAAAAAGAGGTCATCCAGCTCAGGGCAGAACGCAAAGCAGCCATCGCCAGGAGACTGGAGGAAGAACGCCAAGCAAGAGCCAGGAGGGTGCAGGCGGAAGCTCTAGCCCTGGAGAAGTCGGCACAGCAGAGGGCGCAACAGCAACAGCAAGCAGAGGCCAAACTCTTGGACAGCCCTCAGAGGGGACACGAGCGGAAGTCGAGCTGGGGTCTGCTGAACAAGCTCAAAGAGCAGGCGCAGGAAGTCGGGGCTGGTATGATGGTGGGGCTGACGTCCAGCGGGAGTGAGGGGAAACTGAGTCAGTCTCCCTCAGGATGGAAACCCAGTGCAGTGAGTCAGGACACCGTCCAGGCGTTGTCCGATGATCCTTTGATCCAACAAATGAATATCATCAGTAGTTACCTCAATCAAGCTCAAGAAGCTGGACGATGGGACGAGGTGAACATGCTGGAAGCAAACCTCAAGGATCTTCAGCTAGCGTACAGACAGGAGCAGCAGGCCGGAAGATGAGGATTTGAGGAGGTCATCTGGGTTTTTGATAAGGAACCTTATTCCATCACCAATTGGGACATATTACCTGTGTTAGATAATAAAGAGAAGGTGCAATATATTTGTAGCTCAGCAATATTAGCAGTAGTCTCTACCAAAACCAGGCGATCACAGGTTCAAGATCAAGTCCTTGTGCCAATGTCCTGTGGCTAGGCATTTATTATTGATTGCTTTAATAGTACAATGGATAATGGTACTTATCTGTAGGTTAATTGCTACTGTATGATCATATTATTATTAATTGCTTTAATAGTACAATGGATAATGGTACTTATCTGTTGATTAATTGCTACCGTATGATCATGGAGTTGCTTTCATAGTATTGTAGGTAAAACAAATAATAATCACATGATCTCTAAATTCTAAGAGCAAATTGACCTTGGAATATGGCCCATCTAGAGTTAAAAGGTTTTAAGAGGTTTATGTGGTAATCCAGATGTAGGCATTGTTAATAAAAAATGTTATTAACTAGAAAATCAAGTACCAAAAGGTACAATTTGCAATGACTTTATTTCCATTCTGCCAATTACATCATTTATTGTGCTGCCAGTGAGGAGCTTTCATCTTCCAAATTGTGTGTGTTTGCATATATACATGTATGCTCATAGCTTGTTTCAGATTATGATATATCTAATTGCCAGTAACAGGACAAAGACTTTTTACATGGGTAGAAACAGACATGATGAATCTGTATTAAATTCACAACCAATGCCATGAACTAATCGAGAATAGAGAGCTATTCTCATCTTTCACCGGAGATTTTATGGAAATTTGAAATGTGCCTTTTATTTTTGAAGAACAGAAGATGTATGATTTGTATTTTTGTTGTAATATGTATTTTGATGGAAATATCATAAATATGTACTTAAATATAGCTGAACATATGATTATAATTTTATTCAAATCTTACAGTTAGGATTTATTTGAGCGCATAAGCTATAGTGCTATACTGAAAAAAAAACTATAAAAGCAATGCGCCTCTATTATCATTTCATTTGCCTTGTATTATGTTACATTTTGTTAACTTTTATATTTCAGTGTTATTATGTTTAACAACCATTAAGCCTTTATATTTTAATGAGGATGAAGAAATGATCTGTGAGATCAGACTATCGTCTTTCTATTTCATCATATTTTTTTCACTTGCAAAGCAATTCTTTTTTCTTGTATATTTGGTTATTATTTGTGATCATATCATAAATGTGACCTGCTGCCTTAGATTAATATTCTGACCATTGTGTAGCTTTAAATGAACCCTCTGAAATCTCATATTATGTCAGTTATTTTTAATATAACTAGTATGTACTCAGAATTTGGGAACAGTTATTGATGTTGACAATGAATTGATGAACACATCATTAGCAATCAATTTGAAGGGGGCCCTGTGAGATAAAACTAAATAGAAGGCACACAGTCAGCTCCTATCAATCATTACATGCTAACAAATCACTGCTAAAACACCTAGGGGTGTTTCTCACAGATCCTAAGTCGAACTTAACTCTAAGTTGGACTTAAAAATTATGGAAAGCTGTTAGCGTCTTTGAAAATATTTTGTAAACATTATTTCAAAAGGCATATCTTGATTCAAATCATTCATATTGTCTATAATCAAGGAGATTTCATGTTCTTGATGTGGAATTTATGAAAGTCTAAAATATTTGAACTTTTGCTTTTGAAGATATTTTATGTTAAGGCTACAAATGGCTTTCCATAATTTTAAAGTCCAACTTAAAGTTAAGTTTGACTTAGGATCTTTGTGAAACACCCCCTGGTATGTTGTCTTTTCCAGGAGATGGAGATGATCTTCTAAAGTAATTTTAGAGGATCATTGATGAAACTTCCCTTATTAATTTACTGATGCAAATAATGTTGTCAGTCTACCATTTTTTTCCTTCTCAAGATTTGGTAATTAACCAGTAATAGGATAATTGGTCTGTTAGATGTTATGTTTTAGGTGAAATTAAGACATTTAGCGATAATATATATCCCATTTCTAACAACAGTATTAAAATGAAGTGAATTAGATTAAGTCAATTAACAAGCAAGATGCAAGATGTATTTTCATGCTAGGGTGATTCGATAAGTTGTCATTTTTCAAAACAATAAAAATATTAATGATTGAATTCCAGTAATTGTCATAACTATATCTGATATACACTTTGAAATCCTATTTAAGATATCTTGTATCTTGATGAAGGGACTGATTATTTTTTTGACAGAAATGAATCTCTACCCTTACAATTTACACCAAATACATCTTTGCTGTCATTATCAATGAAATATGGTTAGCTGAGTGTCGGAATTGCAGATATCCAATCCCACTATCTATTGATTTTGCAAGCATCTTTTTACATGCTATAGAATCTAGCTGTAATATAGACCTACATTCAGCTTCTATGTCAACTCTTATGCTTGTTTATGGATGAGTCGGGCATTGCATGATTAGGGATAGAGTCTGCATTAAGTTCAATTCACTTTATTTCCAATTCATTTTCAAAAGCAAAAATAATCTTATATACGGCCGGTACATTATGATAAACATACAGAATAACAAAACAAAATACATAAATAGAAACAAAAATCATGAAAACGGAGTATAAAAAAAGACTAACTGTATAAAAAAAAAAAAAAATATGTTACTCGATCAGGGTCAGGTACAAACTTGACAAATGCATATATATGTAAAGAAATATAAAGAAAAGGAAAAGGTGTGCATTATTCAGATTTAAAAAACAAAAACATGGATTGTCCTCAATGCAGGCTATAGTGTGAAACGCATAAATACATGAGAGATATGGGGAATGCAAGGCTTAATTACTATTGTGATTTTTTGGGGGGTATACTTCTTTCACTATCAACTTTCTGATCGTAAAGTCTGGCTTGCAAACAAGTTTTAAGCCATTTACTTGTGAAATATCTTGCCATTGTAAGTAGTGGCTTAAGGTGAAAATTTGTATCTCTGTATGTTCCATTGAACATAAAATGGATTGTAATAGTCATTATCATTAAATCCAAGACCAAAGACAACTGTATATGCTTACTCATTTTTGTGTGATTGATTTTCCTTTCGGCTTATAACATAAGAACATAAGTTGAGTGAATAATAAATATGCACTATAAACATTGATCTGGAATTATATTATTATAGTCATGACTAGGAATCCATCTATTTAATTCTTTGTACAATATATATCTTTCTTTGTCTCTGCATGTCCATCTTTATACTTTTATCTAGCCGTTTATCATTTTTCATTCATTAAGACTTGTTGAGAAATAATTATAAACCATGATTCTATTAATTTGTCCATTATACTGAAACTTTATGTAGGCATATGTCTTTTAATTTTTTCTCTACGATAAGCCTGATATGTTCATTAGATTTCTTGTGGACAGCTAACAAGTTAATTTTCAACAAAAGGACTAAATGATATAAAAGCAAAAGACCCCCAAAACTATTTCAAGTTCAAGTTTAATTATTTTTGTCTTTCAGAAATCACATGTAACGAAATAAAATGTATCCTTGATTGGCAATTATACTTTTAGATAACTTTATCTATGATTAAAATGTATGATTATTGGATTTCCAGTTTCCATACACAGTGCAGTGATTGAGTGAAGTATAGTGTGAAGATATGTCTAGAAACCGTTTCATATGTTTAGCCAATCAAATCACATGTTCGAAATATGTAAGCGGGAAAAACAAGATGGCGGAAGTGGCTTGCGCATCCTGCTCCGAAGAGCAGAGGAACACGCCCCATAATTTAGTTTTCACCATCCACAGTTATTCAAGTTGTACAGCGAATTATTCTCCAGAGTAAGTATTAATCACGTTTTGCGATATCAAATTTATTTTATGATTTGTTATTGATGGCATTATTAGTCAAATAGTGTGGAGCTTTTGGAGCGAAGTGTCGGATTTTGAATGTTTATGTGCCCCATACATTAATATCTGTGTAATGTTTACTTGTTGCCTCAAAATGCGCATTCATGATTAACAATCGAGTAAGAAAACGGTGTTATTATTATTATTTTTATGATTATTATTATTAATTTGGCATTCACTCAATCACAAGTACAAAGTATAAAGCGCAATTCTAGACCTAATCAATTAATTATTAATGTAAAACTAGATTAAGAAAAGTCTAGATCTATGAAAGTATGAAGGGGTGACCAAAGTTCGCTGACATTTTAGATCATAGGATCTAGTCTATTAGTGATATTCGAACTATGATTTCTCATATTCTACACAAATTTATTTATTTCGATTATTACCAAATGGACGGCAAAGTTTTTTACTACAGATAGATCTAAGTTCAACTAGAAAATTTATCGTCGAAGGATTTCAGAGATAGTCTATCGCGATCTAAAAATTCGATGTTCGATCGTTCTTGTGCACTGCATCTTAGAAAGTCATAAAAACAACGAGACCTAACTTCACGCACGGGGGTTTACAGTTGATTTATCAAAAAGTGTGATCCATCAAAAATAAGGTAATATCATAATTTGGAAGGCAAGATATCATACAATCAGTTAGTAACACTTTTTACTGCTCTCAAATTGAAGATTTTCAGACCCTTATCGGTAAGTTTATCATTTTTCGGAACGGACTCCAAAAAATATTGCAAAATTTGCCGTTCTTTTGTCAATATTTTCACAATTTCATACCCAATTCAAAAGAAAATTTCATCTCTGGGTAATTTTATGTTCCTCTTTCCATTGGTGATATCAGATTTTCGTAATCTTACTGATTTTTTGAGATAGCAAACTTTGGTCACACCACCATAATGGCAATTGCAATCTTCATGATCGTGGCAATGGCAATGCTGAACTTATTAAACTAAACTCACAACTCACAAGTAAAATTAATGCCAATTGGGAATGGCATGAAGAGTGCATTTTCTACCTCATTTCCCCTTACCGTCTACATATAGACTTCACGCATTGTATACCCAGACGTTGTGTATGTCTGGACAGATTTTTTATGTCTCACTGAGCTGAGACATACCGTAAACAGATGAAAAAAAACTGAGACTCTCAGCTCCGGAGAAATGATTTAAAACCACAAATAGCTGCATTACTATCCTGACTGTGTATTAAAACTTGTTTGATTCTCAACATTTTTTTTCAAACACAACTGTACAAAACTCAAATGATTTCACTCAAAATCGGTTTTGTAAAAATTGATGACACCTAAATAGCAAATAGCCTACAATTTGTTTTCAACTCACCGATGTCTGCACACCTATTTTACTTGAAATTGACAAGAATTTTCTATTGTGTATCCCTTATAATGCTTGATCTTCACTTATCTCTTATATTTTAAAGAGTGCTGAAAGTTTTGTCAAAATTCAAGCAAGAATAATGTTATTGTCACAATATGCAGCAGTGTAATTTTGATATTGCAAAAACAAAGGTTTCTGTGTCTGGGCACTCGTTCACTTTACACACAGTTGAGGAATTTTGATGTGAAAATAGCATTTTGAGGCTTGTGGATACTGTTTTTACTTTTTAATGAATATGTACAGGTAAGTTTGTTTGTTTGTTTGTTTGTTTTATTTCCACTTTTTCATATCAATACAAAGAAACATACAAATAAATATGATGAATAACATGTAAGTTTGACAAAATTTGTTTCAAGTTAAAATAAAAGTTTCATACAAAAGGAAAAAGCAGGAGACCACATGTCGTAAGCGTAAATGCTTGAACATGACCGTGGCCTCTGCCGAGTTAACAAAATAAAAGAACAACCCATGCAACTGCATTGTATTCAATGTTAAATAAGATATAATTGAAGTGATTAAAAGTGAGCATGGCTGAATTAATTTTGAGCGAAAATAACAAAACAAATTTAGTGAAATATTTCGTGTTGAGAAGTGCATTTGTGCAAGGTGCAAAAATTTAGCTTGGTGGAATAAAAAGAGACTAATACCGTGATATTAATCGTGTGTTGGTTTCAGTAACGGGTGATAATATTAAATGTATGCAGGGTCCATTTCTGTTGACAAACAAAGACAGAACAATTCAAGACATAACAAATTAGATAATTTTTAAATTTCTATGTAAGATCTAGTAAACTATACTGAGTTAACAAATATGCTTTCAAATAAGCTTTAAAAGAATGCAGGGAGGTCCTAGTTTTAATATGGTTTGGTAAGTTATTCCAAATATCTGGTCCATGGTGTCTAATTGATCGTAGGGCTAAACTAAGTTTGGGATTATTAAGATGGTAATCATGAGCATGTCGAGTTGAATATGAGTGTACGTTTACATTTAATAAATAAAAGTTTAAAAAAGATGCTGGAAGAGTTTTGGAAGTGTACTTATACATAAAAATGGCAGTTTGGAGCGTATGTATATCATAAACCTTTAATGTTTTTAATTGACTAAATAACGGGTTCGAATTTGCAAGATAGTTAGAGTGTGTACAAATACGAATTGCTCTCTTTTGCAAAAGAAATATTGAGTTTATTTTAGTTTTACTACAGTTTGCCCATATAATATTACAATATGTTATATACGGTAAAATTAAAGTATTATAAAGAATAAACAAAGATCTATCATTTATCAAACATTTAATTTTATATAAAATACCAATATTCCGGGATATCAAAATATTTATATTATGAATGTGTTCGTTCCAAGACAAATTTGAGTCAATAATAACTCCTAAAAATTTCGTCGATTGTTTTTCAACCAGGGATAAACCATCTATAAACAAATTACATTGTGGTTGGTCCTGGGAGTTAATAGTTCTAAAACGGATAAAATTAGTTTTACTTATATTTAAGGATAATTTATTACATTTAAACCAAATCGAAATATTACACAAATCATGATTTACAGTATCAACAAGTGTATCAATATTTTTGTGTGAGTAAAGTATATTTGTATCGTCGGCAAAAAGAATGTAAGTTAGAGTATTTGAAGATTTTATTATATCATTTACATAAATCAAAAATAAGAGCGGGCCTAAGATGGAGCCTTGAGGAACTCCACATGTGAGGTTCAATTTTGAGGAACTATTAGAATGATAATAAACATACTGTGTTCTATTTTTAAGATAGTCCTCAAACCAGGATAGAGCAAGGCCTCTGATACCATAGTGTTCTAGTTTATAAAGTAAAATTGTATGATCAATGGTATCAAAGGCCTTACTCAGATCCATAAAAACACCTATAACATGCTTCTTATTTGCGAGAGATTCAATTATTTTATCACAAAGTTTAATTAAAGCAAAATCAGTTGAATGATTTTTCCTAAAACCAAACTGGTTAGGAATCAAAATATCGTGCTCATTCAAAAAAGAAATCAATCTTTTATATACCAATTTCTCAAAAACCTTTGAAATACTTGATAATAATGATATGGGACGATAATTTTGAAGTTTAGATGGGTCATCTTTTTTATGAATCGGTATAACCTTAGCAATTTTTAATAAGTTAGGACAGGAACCAGTAGAGAGAGAAATATTACATATATGAACCAATGGAGAAACAATAAAGTGTATTATTTGCTTAATGAGATTCATACTTAACCCATCTGGTCCTGATGACTTGCTTGATTTCAGTGATTGAACTATACTAATTACCTCATGAATAGTTGTGGGAGTAAAGAATAATGAATTTTCAGAGGGTTCTAAAAGATATTGAGAAAAGTGATTGTTGCCAGCATCTATCTTAGAGGCTAATGTGGGACCTACATCAACAAAGTACTTATTAAAATAATTAGCGCATTCATTCAAATTATTAATGTCTTGTCCATTAACATTAATGGTTGTATTTATATGTTTTTTCTTACCAGTAAGATCTTTGATAATATTCCAAAGAGAATTATTATTTTGAGTACTCGCAATTTTATTTGAGTAATATAATTTGCGTGATAGCCGAATAATAGATGTTAACTTATTTCTATATTTTTTATATTTATCTAAATCGATATCATCTTTACTTCTTAACGCTTTCTTATATAATCGATTGCGAGTCGCAATCGATCGTAAAATGCCCCTCGTTGTCCATGGTTTCTTAGCCTTATTTTTATTTAACTTAATTCGAACCAAAGGTATATTTTTGTTGTAATAATACATTAATTTATTCAAAAATATATCGTAAGCATCATTTGCAACTACTAAATTAAATACATCAACCCAAGATTCTGATGCTAAATCCGCCCGAAAGCTCTGAATATTAGCATCCGTTTCTTTCCGAACGTAAATATACTTCATGGACTCATGTTTAAGTAACTGAATTGTAGGGGAAATAACAAATATGGGAAGGTGATCAGAAATATCAGAATACAAAATTCCGTTCTGGCTGTTTTCATTAAAAATATTCGAAAATATATTGTCTATTAAAGTTTCAGTTATACTAGTTATTCGGGTAGCTTTGTTAATATGTGGATGGAGGGAATAAGAAGAGAGTGTAGTTAGTAACCTAAGTCCAATATTATTCAATGCATGTGGAAGTAGATTAATATTATAATCCCCCATAAGATATATGATTTTATTTTCACGCGATATTAAAGAAAGACTTTCTTCTAATCTATCTACAAACATATCAATATTACTATGAGGTGGTCTATACATTACTCCAACAAGTATATTTTTAGCTTTATTTATAATTTCAATAAAAATATATTCGGAGCCATCTACACTTAAGTCAGGTCTCTCTTTAAATGTTAAGGAATCATGAATGTACAAGGCTACTCCACCCCCTCGTCCATAATTACGATCAGCTCTAATTAGTTTATAATTTTCAATATTAAATAAAGGAGGTGATTTATTATTCAACCATGTTTCCGTTATCCCTATTATGGAAA